ATTTTTTTTTTCTTTTTTTTCAGATTTAAAAAAAAAAAAAAAAAAAAACAGAAAAGGAACCAATCGCGGGCCGCCACGTGTCGTGGGGCCCGCAGAACAGCCCAAGCACCCATGAAAAGCCGACGCTTATTGGGGCAACAGAAGCGTCGAATTTTTCTTCAGTTGGGCCCCCCACCCTTACTTTTTAGGCTAAGCGCCTCCCGATAATTGTGCTCTTAGATTCGAAACGTCTAATGAATTGTTGTAAAATGGAATGGATAAGATTTTGTTTTTGAAGAACATGGAGAAGTGAGACTCATCTTACGTAACCATTTTCTTTCATAGACCATTTGTTTTAAATATTTTCATTGCCAGTTTCTTTTTCTTTTTAGTGAATTAAACTTTCTGCTCGATTTCAAACTTGGATGCATTTCAATTATTTTTGTCAATTTGTTCACAATTACATTGACCCTCCTCCCTTTATTGTTCTGTAATTTGCCTTAAATATGGGGACAAAGACAAAACTCGAAAGCGACGAGTTAAAAAAAAAAGTGAGAAGGATAGTAAGAACAAGGCCCCCACCGTTTTATTTATTGACATTTCATGCCCAAATAAATGATACACTTACAAGAAATGAGATCATGTTATTCAAAGAAATCAATCATAAGCTTTTTCGCAAGTATTTGTGGGTCTCCAATTCCCGCTCTAAGATACATTTGAGTAGAATATATATATATAGTAATTTGAGTGTTCTATTTTTTTGATCAAAGTAATTTGAGTGTTCTTGAAAACTTAGAAACCAATTACTAAGGGTGGGCAAAAAAACCGAACCGAACCGAACCAACCAAACCAAAACCGATCCAAACCAAACTAAAGTTATTATCAAATAGTTTGGTTTAAAATTTGTTCAAACCAAAACCGAAGCAAATTGAAACCAAACCAAACCGAAAAAATTAATATTTTTGATTATTATTTTAATTGGGCATATTAGCAATTTACATGAACTAAAATCTTAAAAAGAAATTCATATTATGCTTTCAACTTTAGTTAGTAAAACTAATATATATTAGATTTATAATAATGAAATCATGGGTATAAAATTTTAAATATAAAATTTTAGTAAATATATAAATTAATACTGGTATAGATTATGTATAACATATACTAGTTAGTGATTTGTTGCATATTTTTTTTATAATATCACATAAAAGATGATTAATTGTAGATTTTTTTTATTAGTATAAGAGATGTTTGTTAGTTATGATGTTCTTTTAAAAACATCTTTTTGTTTTAGTGGACTTTGATTTTTTTTTTTTAGAGGACTTTAATTCGATTATGTTCTTATTAACTTTTTGTAGTTTTTAAAATTTTTATTCAATTTTATATTAAATATAATTAATTATTTATTATCAACACGTGATGATTTCATGGACATGCAATTAAATTTTAAAATACAATCTCTTAAACAAATTAACTTAAAGTTGTCAATTAAACCGAATCAAAACACAACTAAAACCGATTCAAACTAAATTAATTATGGTTTACTTCAGTTGGAAAAATTTTAGAACCGAAATAACCAAACCGACAATTTTAGAACCAAAATAACCAAACCGAGTCGAAACCGAATAAATAATCGAAGTGCCCACCCCTAATATCAATATCCTTACGACCGGCCTAGTGGCCTCAAAAGTCTTAATATTTTCGCTGAAGTTAAGGGCACATCTATATATATAAAGTAAGGTTTGCTCACTCATTGTAGTGCCACGTAGGATAATACTTCTATAGTTTGATGACACGTGTTTTATTTTCACAAATGGGCCTCGCGATGTAAAAATGTTTTGGGCTTTCGTTGAGTAAAGTGCAGAGCCCGTCTTATTGTCTCCTCCCCCAGCGAAAGGGTTTTCTGTGTTTCTCGCCTATCCTCAGCACCGCCATTGATACTCATCTCCACTCCTCTCTCATGGTCTTTTCCGTTTCCTCTTACACCTGTTTGGTTTCGTTACTGATTGATTACAGAATTTAACACTCCCCCATGATCTATCATCAATTCCCTCTTATCACCCTATAGTCGGTGGAGATGTGTATATATAGAGGTCTGTTCTTCCCAGTCTCATACTCATTCCCATCCTTTTCTCTCAAATCTAAATTGTTTTCTGTTGTAATGGCTATGTCTAGGGTTTTCTTTTCTGATCTCAAGTCCGGTCGTTGCTCCTCCTTAATGGTCGATGTTAGTGTATGTGTTCTGTTCTTCATAAAATCAGACGTCGCATAAGTTATTCCGACAGTCTCTCACTATTATTCTCTTGATGGTTTTTAATATTTTCTTGCAGGCTTACGGACGGGTATACAAATTAAAATACAGAGACCGTCGCCGTCCAGGTTTGTATTCTTCTTCGATCTCTGACTAGCTAAATCGACAATGGTGTTTACGGGAAGTTATCTGAGACTAATCTTCATGATGAATCTCAGTATTTAGCCACCTTCGTGTCCTTTTTTTGTGTTCTTCTCCGCCGTACCGTTACAGATGCTGATTTGTTCCCATTAACTACATTCTTAACTTCTTCAAACCATTCAATGCATCATCCCTCCCTACAAGTTAGTGAATCTCCAACTATGAAAAGGTAACCTTTCATAGTAAACTTCATCCTCAAAATCCTAAAAACTCTTAGAAATATTTTCCAATAGAATCGTTTTCCACATTTAGATCGAGTTCAGACATTGAACCAAACTCAAGGAAGAAAATTTGATCCAAGCGGGTAGTAGCAAAGAGTCTACAGCTTTGTCGCCTCATACAACTTCTAATTCAAAGATCTCTTTATTTCACAATATCTCTCCCTTTCCTCTTACTATAAGAATTGTATGTCTAAGAGTATGAGTTTTACTTTACTGCAAGATATTCTCTTCAGATGTTGATTTGGGGTCTGTGATAAGTTTTCATAAGAGAATGATAGATCCAAGAGAATCAAGTAAGATTAAGTTGTAAATAGTTAAAAAAATCATATAGAAGTGTGATGGTAAATGTGACAGTAATTAGTAAAGACTATGTAAATCCGTCAGAGCCACCGAAAGATTTTATTCATGTTAGACCTAGAAGGGGGCCATGTAACGAATAGCCACAACTTCACTGAAAGAGAATAAACACCTCTGAGAAACTGGGTTTTTTTGTCCATTTTTCTGTTCAACTTTACGTTGTTGATGTTTGTGTTTGGTTATCAGGCAAGAAGAGAAAAGATCAGCGAGAGGATGGCTTTACTTTATAATATGGTTCCTGGTTGCAACCGAATAACAAGCAAAACAGTTATGCTTGATGAAATCATATATTCCTTGCAGGGACAAGTCGAGGTATAACCCAGTATTCTATGAAATATTGCTTGAAAATTGGACTTAAAACTCTTCTTAAGGTCTGAAACATTTGGTTTGTTTTCCTGTTCTTTTCCTTGCAGATGGTTACTATAAATCCACATAGGTAAGAATATGCTTTTTGAAGCAGAGATAATACAATCTTTCTATTAATATTCTGTATCAAAATGTGTTGCATTTGTATGTGTGTGTGTGTGTGTGTGTGTGTGGTAATTAGTAGTTGATGTCACAGATTCTGGAGATGTATTGAAAGCCCATATGCTCAAATATTTTTTTCCTTTTTTGTTTTAAGATTTTCAGATACACAAGTTCTGGGAAAATTATAGGAAAAGCATTGTTCAGATGGGTTTTGGAGATGCCCAGCAACAGAGCAACAACAACAGTTGTACGAGAGGACTTAGAGCAATCTCTAATGAGAAACTTAAGAACCAGACTTCAAGCTGATAATATCTTTTTATGTTGACATGTTCTGAGCCAACATTACAGATGAAGCTTGATTCACATTAAGAAGGTTTATTTTACTAACCTGCTTATGTTTTTATCCGTCTTTCCCTCTCTTTACTCTGATGCATTAACAACTCTTTATTTACCATGTTTTACAGGTGATCCAGTGGCAAAAGAGTGAAAATAACCGCACGCTCTATGTTTACAAATTGTGTTGACCGCATGGTGATAAGTCTCCGCTATGATTGATAATTCTTCATGCTTCAATGATAAGTCTCCACATTGGTGTCACTGATATATATAAGATAGTTTTGCAAATTTTCTAGAGTGTTGTTTGCAACTTCAAAAAGATTATCTTGAGAGGAGGTTTTCTAGAGTAAAAAAACACAAATACACACAAAAGTAACATAAAGCTGGAAGATAAGTTAAGTGAGATAACAAATTTAAAACTTTCAACGTTTGCTAGGGAAAAGTACTCTACAAAACCTCTTTGACTCTTTTTAATTTACATATCTTAAGTGGAGAAAAATACCTATTGGGTCTGAGCAATGAACAAAAATATCTATAAATATGAAAACATCGGATCCCAAATGACAAAAACAACAAAGTAAACCTACACTTTAGATTGCATAATATCATATTCAGCTGGTTGGGGTACTAGCTGGAGAGGTTTAATTTCTCATATACTTATTGTCGCTAAGACTAGCAATGGGAGTAGTGGAGAACTCTTAAAACAATTTTTTTGAGCGAATTAAAATGATTGAATGAAATCAAGCAATTTTTTTTTAATACTGACCTATATATATATTGGAACGTACTGACCTTCTATATATGCATGTGTTTTCACACTCATATCAGTCAAAGGAAAAGAGAAACCAATCAGTTAGTTTATTTTCCTATCTTCTTCATATTTATCATATTTTAGTAACAATAGGGAACTACATGGACATGTGGATTCAAGAAAAATTCATATATACAGAACGTATATAATCTTTTCAAAAACAAACTAATAAGATTAACTCACAAAAAACAATATAATTTAAAATTCAACCATTTTTAAATATTATATTACAATCACCAACCTATCTAAAAACAAGTCCAATATGATACTTGGTTTGCCACTGGTTTCATGTGTGATAATTTTTTGATTAAAATAATAATAAAACAATAACAAGACTAATTAAATGTGTTCAAGAATGAAAATGAAAATGTGTGTTTACTAAACAAAAACCACAACAGAATAAGTTAAATGGTACAATATCTTAAAATATGTTCTATTACAAACAAAAACGATAAAACTATGAACAAATATTAATATAGTAGATTAACATGTAGTTGCACAAAAAAAATATTAATATAGATATCCCGCGCGAAGCGCGGGTTTGCCCTAGTAAAATTTATAAACAAAACGAGTAAAGTGACCAATTGTTCATGATTCTGATTAGTGTGACCACTAAGCATCACTAATCACCATGCTTATTCACATATGTAAATTTTGACAAGAAAAGTTACATCAGGATACATTAAAACCAGTAAACACAGACCTGCTTCATTTGACAATCAGGAGCAAATCTGAGTCAAATTCCCATATTCTCCAATGGTGAAAGCAGAAAAGGTTTTCACAGGTCAAATGGACTTTGTTGAAAACTACATTTGTATTCTAAACCATTACCATAAAACTTACTTGAAACCCAAAATCAGACTTAGGGTTCTGTCTTTGAGCTTGTGATATCTCTCACTCATCTAGGAGGACCTGGTCTCTGGTTAGCTTCTCTATCTCTACGTCTCCTACCTGATTGTCCTAGTAGAACCCGTCCTTGTCTCCTCATTCGACTTGCCAGAGAGTTACTCTGCCTATCTTCCTCTTCTTCTCCAGACTCATTTGTTCCACGATTGATTGCCAAGTCACTCGAATCTGAATCAGATCGTCTTGTCTGATTCCTTGACGCCTCAACAGCATGCATCATAAGGATAACATTTAAAAAATTTCTACCAAACCCAGCATCCATCCCTGAACCGTTGTAATGATCACCACCCTCGTCAGAGTCGGAACCATTGTCGTTGTTGTTGTTGTTCCTTTCTATAACGTAATCCCCAAGCACCGTTGCTCCAGGTATAAGCGACCTGATCGAGCTGAGAACATCATCCCGGTCATGCTCAATCTCAAGCCTTCTCCAATTCTGCTCGACATCAGGATCAACTTCACGCGGCTTCGCACAAGGATGGTCCTTTTTCATGTGTTTCCTCAGCTCTTTGAAGGTTCCAGCAAAAGCACAGTTCTCCTGCATACAGATCCTCTTCTTGAGATTCAGAAATTCACGCGCAGGCTTCACGATTGTCCAGCCTTTCACCTGGCCTCTACAAAGAGGGCATGTGAGATTCCCAAGCTCAGACTTATTGTTCTGTGGACGACTCGCTGACTTCAGCTTAGCTGACGCTTTCTTGTACTGATCTAAGCAGTTGGAATATCGGAAACTGGTGCCACACATGTAAGGACGGCATCCCTTGTCGTGAGAGGAGCAGAGGAGAAGAACAGCGTTGTGAGGACACTCCATGCAAACCGAACATATAACATTCTCCCAGTTGTCCCTCTTCTCTATACACTTGGGACAATCTTCTGGGAACACGTTCCTTGTGACAAGACGATTAGAAGACTGGAATTTGTAAGGTCTTGCTCTGATCCGTCGTGAATGAACGCTGCGTCTTGTCCTTCTAACTTTGGCCATGATTTCAAAATCACACCTGTACAAATACTCATAACGATTAAGAAAAAACAATCACATAAAAGATTGTAACAACATAACCAGAGATCTCTTCCTCGAAACTGCAGATATAAACTAAGCATACAACACTCAAAGTAACAGTATCACACACATTCTTGATTTAAGGATTATATGATAGCGATAGTTGTCAGATGATATCCATCTACGCAGGCATCTATCTAAAACAGATATTTCACAATCTTGCATGAATAACAAAAATAAAAACCAAAACTTTCACAGAATCACAACGAAAAAAAAAGAGGCATTAATGTTAACAGCAGTTAAAAATATCAACATATTCATCTATCAGTGGAAATGGGATTGCACAATGAACAAACCATCAATGGCAACACAAATGAAACCTAATTAAGTTCACAAAGGACTAATGCGAGAGATCCAACAAACGAAGCAGTGTACTTTCACTCACCATTATGTAAGCATACAAGGTGATTAACAACTTCCAAGACAACATAATGATTAAACTCTGAGCTAAAAAATTCTAATTGTCATGGAACATAGCATAGATGGAGCACATATGGAAAAATCAACTGACCTGCAGATTCACAGAACACACAAGCAACATGACAGTTAATCAAATAATTAAAATCAAAGCAATGAATCTAATCTAATCCACATGGAGAAAATCACTCACACACACATCTCAAGAGAAGTTTATATAAATAAATAAAAGAACTCCCCAATAATTCGATCCTTAATTCCCCAGAAAAAAAAATCAAAAATTAAGAACACCCAGATGGATTCTGAGATTTTCACGATAAACAATTCAACCAAGTTTCAATCTTCCAGACCTAATTCAAATCAATAGATTATATAACTAAACAAAGTTCAAATTCAAAGCCAACCTCTAATTTCGAATCCGAAATCCCAGAATTCAAATCGAGATCTCTTCTCTAAAACCTAACAGGAACCTAGCCAAACCAAACATCCAGATCGCCAAAATTAAACGAAGAGCGTAGAAAGGCACACGTAACAGAGAGACGAACTTTTACCTTTAGGAATTGAAGATTAGGGTTTCTAAAGCAGAGATGCCTGATGGAGCGATATAGAGAGAGATATAACGATGAAGACGAAGAAGAAAGGAGAGCAGCAAGCACCACCACTGCTCCACCAATTAGCTCTGTGGATTCCGAGTTTCTCTTTCCTCAGCCACGTGTCGTGAACTTATGACTTCCACGAGTTTTGTCGAATGCGTAAGACTGACGCGCCCATGAATTAAGTAAGCCTCTTAAGGCCCATTATGGTTCATAATTGGGCCTATAGTATTATTGGGTATTTTAGATTCTTCTACATGTTCTCTCAAACTCGATAAGCTACTTTAAACGGCAAGAGATTAATTATTAACCATAATAAAACACCAAGAAATTTGACTAATTATGAAGGAAAAGTTTTTTTTTTCTGTTTAAACCACGTGATTAGAAAGGTTTATAGTAGACTTCCAACGTTTGACTGTGGAAGCTAGGAACATATCTCTAGTAACGTTGTTTGAGGAGATTATTAGTCGTTTCAAAGCATATATAACTTGGCAATTGAAACAAAGTCTTACACGGCTTGGCCGTGGATTATACTTGAATCGCCGTTAATAGCCTAGTAGGCTAGATCCTTATTAAGTGATCAAACTTTTCACTGGTCATGTCAACTCCAGTTACCATATATATATGTATATGGCTAGTAAATCCTAAGTATTTATGCATAGTAGAAACTATAATACTTTATTAACACTTAAAATTGTGGGGGGAGGGGAATATAATGCAAACCCCCAGATGGGATTTCGATTTAGAAGTTGACCTAGGGACACAAAGATTTATAATGAGAGAAGAAATCATAATGTGCATACAAAAGAGACAAGTGAAATTGCATTTGACCTTTTTCTTTTCTTGTGAATTATAAAATTCCAACGGAAGATATGGCTGCGGCGCTGATTACTCTCTTGCCCACGCTTCCTCTGCCAAATTTCTCATTTCTTTACTATACCCATATGCCATATGATATCATATTTATTTGTATGTGAAAGTACCTTTTTGGCAAGATAAGTAAACCAACTGCATGGATATATCTTTTGACACACGCATAACTACTTATGTTGAAATGTTAATCTCACGTCGATGAATGATGATTTTATTTATTATCAATTGGTTCTAAGATAAGTAAAACTGTTGGCTATCTAGTTGATTTATAATTTCAAAACTGTGTGTTCGCTATTCAAATTATATTAGCATGCTTAAACAAATATTGAATACAATACACAATTATCGAATGAGTTGATAAATTCACGAGTTTGATTCGACGCTAGAGAGGTGACTATCAAACCTGCTCTTAATTCCATTCCCACAAAAGTATGGACCAGTGCCTACCTTTCGATAAGAAAATAAGTTTATTAAATGAATGTGAGATAAGACTATATACATATGATGGAATCATGGAAACTATAAAAACTGAAAGTATTCTAGTTGACTATTTTTAGATCCGATCCCAAGGCAACTAGTATCTTGTTCTGAACTTTTTTTTCTTTGGCATCGTATCCAGTTCTGGATTTTTCGTACGAGTTTAATAGTTGCTAATTTGATACATACACGTTAGGAAATAAACACAATAATGATGGCACATGTATAACCGTAATATTAATGCACTAACTACATCATACGGTTTAAAGTATTTAGCAAAGGGACATCCGGACATGGCTTTACTGATTAAATACATCATATATATATTCCGACGCTCTCGCCATCAAATTGTGCACCAACACGTACAGAGGTTTGAAAGAATAGTGCATCTTATACATATTATACAAAAAAAATACATATTATACTATTTACAATCCAAGCCCACATCAAATGTCAAAATGGTGATGAACAATAGGAATTTATCTTTAGCTTAGCTAGTCGGATAAGCAAAATTAAAGGGTTGATTAGCCCAACCGAAAAAATATAGTTGAGAAAATACCAAATAAAAATAATTGTATCAAAACTATAAAAAGAAAGCGTCTTTTAGTATCCAGTTGTGCATGAATTCATGAACTTACATTTTTTAAGAAGTTGCACAACAACGCGTATGTGTAGCATGCGAGGGCTGCGTGCGAATTGAATACAAGTCTATAACACCAAGATTTGACTTTTAAGAAAATATATGCTCAAGTTGAAAAATTCAAATTCGAGAAAAATTCAAGATTCATTGACTGATCTATATATTAAGCTAACTCATTACATATTTTTGGACGCTTTGATTTTAGACATCTAGTGTTGTATTGCGAAGGAGGAAAAAAAAACTATGTACGTTTTGATCCCACCATTCTTTTTCTCGATCTTTATAACACTACCGAACTATGCATGTTTTGTTTTTGCTACAAAAACTATGCATGTTATTGTTCTTATAAAATATTTAACTCGTCTGATTATAAATACATCAATGAAAAAGTTAATATATACACACACATTGGATGGTCTTCTGTATTTCACATGGTACTATACATGTGATGGGAAATTTCCTGGACCCTAATGCCCAAATAAAAAAAAAAATTCTTTTAAAATTTAAAAACAACTCCATCTTATTATCCATGGTAACTTCGGTTTAGTTATTTTAAAGGCCAAAATTAAGCGCTTTATAAATTAACATGGGTTGTTTTATCTTAAAGACAATAACTGATTATTATTTAAAGAAAGTCAAAGCTAGCTTAAGATGCGTACTAGAGTGAATAATACAAATAGTAAACAAAATTCTGAGCAGGAAATGGAATTTGACTTTAGCACATCAAAAATCAAAATCCAAAGCTAACAAACCAATACAGAGGTTTGATTTTCATCTCCATTAATGGGCATGGATCTTTCGCTCAAGCTCGAGAAAAAGAAAGACGAAGAAAGATCAAAACACAACTGTGAAAGGGAAGAAGATGAAGATGTTGGTGCTAGTGCTAGTGAAGATAAAGAAGAACAAATGGTGAAAGAAGGCGAAATTGAAGATTCTTGTCTAAGTTCAAGAAATCGAAAAGAAGAAAACGAACGTGAAGAGGTACTTAATTACAATACGTCTAATATTATACATCAGAACATATATATAGTGTGAAAACATGTTAACATTCACGGATGGAGATCAGCTCTTGCAGATGCAAATCGAAATGAAGCATGTGAAAGAAGAGAATACGAGGTTGAGGAAGCTTGTAGAGCAAACCCTTCAAGATTATCATCAGCTCGAGATGAAATTCCCGATAATCGATCAAACCAACAAGATGGTGAGAGAATCTTGAGTGTATTATACACCATACTTTATACTTATATATGTACTGGTCACAGTTAACATGTATATAATATAACTTGATGTCCTTTTTAACTTAGGATCTTGAAACGTTTCTTGGGGCACAAGCCATTGCTAGGAAAAGAGTAATCGAAAGATCTGCTTCCTTGAGTTTAGTAGAGGAGGAATTAGGGCTTTCACTTTCTCTACAGAAAAAGCAGAAACAAGAAGAGAACAAAGAAGCTGAGTCTCATAACACGCAAAGATACAATAGTAGCAGCACCATTCAGGGGAAAGATATAAACACGCAACGTGTCATAACGTCTACTCCGGGGAACAGAAAGGCCAGGGTGTCTGTAAGAGCGAGATGTGAAACCGCAACGGTGAGTTTCTTTATATATCACATCTTGTTGACTCATGCAGTTTGGGTACTATATAGGTAACATGAAATTTTAGGAATATTTTTCGTGTATGAATGAATGTTACGTTCTTTAGATGAATGATGGGTGCCAATGGAGAAAGTATGGTCAGAAAACTGCGAAAGGGAATCCATGTCCAAGAGCCTATTACCGATGCACCGTGGCTCCAGGATGTCCCGTTAGAAAACAGGTAAGCTACCCACAAATTCTAGGGTATTATAATTTTGATAAAATGTGTAAAATAACCAAAATCTTAATATTTTATTTACAAAAATGACAGATAAAAAGTTATTTATTTATCTCATGTACGCTAAGAATAATAATATGGATTTCATTAGTTTTTTTAACAAATAACATTGATTTTTACCATTTTGATCAAACAAATAAAAATTTACAATCCAGGCCCTATATATAATTGATTTGTTTACTAACAAAAATTCTATAGCATTGTGTTGGGAGCATTTTAGATCAAATTTTTTTTCCAAACAGTATACACTTTTACTAGATTTGAACTACATTTGTATAAATCAGTACTCCATGATCTTATGCTATGTGTATATAGTTATTTAAGAGCTATTGCGTTTGTGAAGGTGCAAAGGTGTTTAGAAGACATGTCGATATTAATAACAACGTACGAAGGAACACATAACCACCCACTTCCGGTCGGAGCAACAGCCATGGCTTCCACTGCCTCCACTTCTCCATTCTTGTTACTCGATTCTAGCGACAACCTCTCTCATCCTTCATATTTTCAACAAAATGGCAGCGATAATCGATCCATAAGAAGCTTGATCAACTTTGATGAGTCATCATCTCGAGGAGGAGGTCATGTTCCATCTTCCCAAAACTGGATGATTTAGAGTTTCCCCGTCTCTCATTATTTCCCTTTGGTCCTTTTATTTTTATATTGTTTAAGTCGCCAACACATGGATTCTTGCATTTACTTGTTCTTGTTTCTTAACATTTATGTGTCGTATATACAACAAAATTAAGATTGTTTGTTTAGTTTGGTTTGATGTTCACTTATTTGTAAAAGTAAGGTCAAATTAGCTAAACGGCCATGATATTCAATAGCTCATTGTCAAATGCCATGTTATTTTCGCTAAACCCGCTTGAACTATAACATGTTATTTTGTTCAAAACAATCTACTATCGCTATCCAATTGAATTAAGGTATTATGAAAAATATATTCATGCTTATTGTATATGGATACTCGAATTGGATCGCAATAATGAAAGATCAGTTCGGGGATTTTGATCTTAAGAAGACATGGGTACCAAAATAAAACACCAAAAGATTACAGATATAGTTCTTAAAACGCTCTTCTATATCGAAGAATATCACAATGGATTTAGATGTTTAGAGTTATTGGAGTAATTGAGCCATATTCTTATGATCTCTGAGTGGCAGAGTTACATAACATCACCTGGAGGGCTATGTCCTTTCTGCATAGTGAATGTGCTCTACTTTATTTGCTCATCACACTGAAGGAATGTGAAAATGGACCTCACCAGAAGCCGCCGTTGAACCTAACATCCATCTCCAATGTGTGTAGTCTCGAGGATAAAAAGCATAGTTATTTGTGTTTTATATTAATGTATACGATTCATTAAGTAATAAACCAATTGTGATATACTTTCTAGATTTTATTACATACATCTGATATGTGAAGGAATCTACTTGTTCAAGTACTTAGACATGTTCTTGCGTCAAGCGCAATCCTGTCTGAAAGAAGAATTTTTTTTTTTTTTCGGCAAACGTTCTTTCTTTTTTTAACACTTGTAATTCAATCCAAAATCCAAAATATTCTTACAATTCTGAGCTAAACAGACCAGTAACAAAAGCTCAAAAAAATACCAGTAGGCATATTTATAATAACCCCATACAATGTGGGTAAAATGGAACTTACAGAGACTGTGAGAAGATGAAATAAACAAAGCAAGAATGCTTTTTCATCTATCTCTTAGAATTGATTGATTTAAGAATTCATAAAGAACATCCTTTACCAAAGGGGAAAAAGATATGTTATCGTAATGCACAAGCCCAGCTACAGCCCAAAAAGAAGCCTTTTAGTAAAGAGTTTTAAGTATCCCACATCGGAAAGCTGAGAGGATTTGATAAGGGGGACTGTAATATAAATGGACTTCACACTCCTCAAGTAACAAGCACGCAGCCATGTGGTGAGCACAAAGCGAACTATTCTTTCGCCTTTTACTAAAGAATACCGTGTGCTCTCCACGCTAAGTGGCATACGCCTATCTTTGGAGGGTCCCACTTTCGAGTGGGCCCAACAACATTTAGTTGAATTTGTACTTACTTTAATGCAAAGTAAATATATTTATTTACTATATTGTATTAAGATGAATTGTCGTTTAATTAGATAAAATACATGATTATATCATTATATGAATGCTCATAAAAAAAGTAAATGTCTTCGGCGGCAGAAAAATAAACAACACTCAAGTTGAAGACGTTGATCTTTAAGTATGTCAACAAGGAAATGGATATATTAAGATTAACACACCAAAGGACAAAGAAGATTACACATTACAAATCTCAACACACTCATCTAATCTCCCATAAATTCATTTTTATACACATCACTTAGAATCCTCCAAGAACAATTAAAACTAGGTTTGACCAATCTAATATAAGACCTTGTCAAGAGGGTTTTGAGTTTAGACCAGGACCAAGCCTCTACTATTTTCTTCATCTTATGACATTGTGGCGATAAAGATCTTTGGTGATACGAAGGAATCACATTTCTACAAACTTCTCAACGTGTGATGAAAAAAATATGATGGGAAACCAGATGGATTTCCTCAGTCACCCTGAAGGCTCTTGCTTCATTTGGAAACCACCATTTTGCATTGTGTTGAATGGCATTGCCTGGTACAAATCGAGGAAACCAAAGATGAATCTAACATCATGTGTGTATTATATTATATCTACACCAAAAATCCACTAAAAGTCTACAAATATTTTCAAAGATGGAACAAATCAACTCTTAGTTCTTAACTTGGGAAGCAGTTATTCTTATATCATCTTAGATAAACTTACCATCAAACCTTCAAATATATGCAAGCCAAAACAATTATATTTTTGAGCCTATTAAACCAAAGAGTTAAGGTTCAAACTACAGTAGGAGTCAAAACTAGTTAAGACATCTGATGTGTAACAAAAGGGACTTCAAATGCAAAAAGAGAGGAGCTTATTAACTTACAAAAGTTGAATTAGTCAATATGGTAGCCGAGAGATCATCATTGATAGCAACCGGTAATGGTGGCATCTGGCTCATCAAGCCAGGCATATTACTCATGCTGCCAAATTAACATCATATCAGTTGACCAATTCTCCACCCTAATTTATAAGGAACTCTTTAGAAAAAAGAGTATGAACTTACTCATTTTGGATGGTGATAAGGTTGTTCCTTGTCTGACAAAAGAGATCTATGTTATCATGTACCTGTTCATAAATCACCAGGAGGGAGAGATTTTAGCAAGAACGCATTTGAATTATTTTAAACCAAGTAACCTAGAGCTTACCTTGTATGAGGATAGATTAGCTCTTATTTGACTAAAAGCTCTTACGTTCTTTTCTAAGAGACTGATTGCATGGCCACTTAAATCTGAGAAAGAAAAAAAGGAAGTTAAAAATTAAAGATTACAGCAACTTCAACTAAACGCCATATGAAAGAGAAGTCAAGGGAATCAATCTCTACAAAGGTTACATGATCAGCGAGGGGACTTCAACGTAGAATTTTCACACAAGAAAAAAATAAAAATAATCTCCGAAGTTCCTTTTCGCGTCAGCTTAACTAGAATGCACTCCAGAGAAGGACAATGAAGTAACTCATCAACGTCAATGTCTATGAGTAAAGTCTTCTAAAACTAAACTATTTTTAGAGACGCAGTTATCTTAATTTATCTAACAAAATAAGAGTAGATCTATACTTAAAATGGTACTCGAAGCATTATATATACACCAAGCAATAACTATGTATTGCCTCCTTTTGAGAGCATAAGCAGATATGGATGTGTGCATACTAATGAAAAGTAAGAACTGGAGTTGGTAAATTCGGGTGAAAGTTTCTCAGATAAAGCAAGATGTTAACCTTCAGACTGAATATGTTTGCTGGAGTTCGTAAAGGGCATCAAGAAAGGGTATGAAGCCATGCTATCAGGTAAAACAGAAGGCATGCTTGAAGACAATCCCGCCTGAAGAAATATAAATCTGTTAAGAATTTGCCTTTCTTGTACAAGCACGTTAGAACCAAAACCTCAAAATTTATCAAGATATAAGAGTGATTCCATCTCATTCCTGGAACAATATTATTCAATCTAACTTGATGTCAAATAGCAAAACAATATCTTTGTGTATTTAAGAGTGTCACTCATCAAATTGAATAAATGGCAAGCGTCTCTAATATACCTTGCTAGAACTTATTCTTTTTCCACTGTTGAATTCTTCTGCTTTTCTTCTCTTTCTCTGTTTGAAAAGGAAAAAAAAAAATCAGTATATGATGGACAAAGACAAAAGGCAAAAAAAACTAAGAAATCATTCTACAGAAAACTCCAAACCACAAAAACTACTATGCTCCCTACTGGCATCCCAATAACTCAAGTTAACATCAGGACTGTGTTTCAGTCCTATGGAAAATTAACTCCAAGCAAAATCTAGAAAGTAACGATTTGATTCTGTGTCGTTCAGGAATCTACATACACACTAAGCCTGTGTGTTATTTTCCTAAAGGTTCTACACTAAAGTGTCATTTAACTTAACAGCAGTGGAAACTATATAGTCTAGTCCAAAACTAGTTACTAGAACAGGCGAGGTAATGCAAGTCTAGCACTGTTTCTTTGACGCACATATAACACGGCATAAACATCAAACTACAGAACTGCAAACTAGCTACAAAAGCTACCAAACAAACAAAAAGTTGAAAGTTGCAGATAGATGAAAACAGAGCTTTACCGTCATCCATCTACACCTCAAAGCAACATCTCGAACGGTTTTGTCAGGTAAAGTCGCTGCAATCTTAATATACTTCATGATACTTGGCTTATCCTTATACCTACATAAACAGAACCAAACCCTTTAAGGCATAACAACTTCAAACAAAAGAAAGACTCCATTGATATAAAGAAACACAACATAAACACTCACTTCTCAAGGCCAATCTCCAGTTTGAGCTGTTCTTCAGTTGACCATTCACTAGCCAAGGAAGTATCTAGCTTCGGCCCAGAAACCGAATCAGAAGAGTTCCCGGTTTGAACTAAACCAGAATTAGTAACATTACTGATCATATTCATCCCCAACAAGGACCCACTTTGACCAAAGTAAGGACTCATCGGAACCATCTCGGAAGAACTCAAAGACTGGAAATTTATAGCGTGAGGGTTCATCATAGAACTCATAGAATCAGATCGTGTAGCCATCCACATAACTCATACAACTCTAAACCCTCACCGTTCCTCTAAGACATCAACTAAAAAAGGGACAAACTTTAAGAATCGAACTAAACGATCCAAAGAAATCAAACTAAAATTAAACTAAACCCATCTCAAATCCGAGCTTCCTTAGCTCGAAACCCTTTGATCAGATATAAAAAGACAAACTTTGAGAAAACTTCACCTTTGTTTGGTCGCTCTGTTTTTTTTTTGTTTCTTTGAAGTTTTTTTTGTTTGTGTGTGTGTGGTGAATTTTCTAACGAAACCAAAGTTGGTTTTTGTTTACCAAATTACACCAATTATATGCGTCTCTTTTTAGTTTGTGGAATTGCTTTTTATCTAATTAGCTTCCGCCTTCTATCAATGGAAATTTTTAGAGAAATAAATATAGAAAATGGAAAAAAAAAGTATGTCTTTGTTGTAGTGTAGTGTTACTATATTACTTGGTGAAAACAACGTCAACTTTCCACCATTCTCTCATGGAAAGAGATAAAATCCAAATTTTAATAGTAGTTTCCAACATAATAGGAATATAATGTTAAATTGAAAAATACAAAGGATTTTGACTATAAGCAAAGGATAGAATAAAGGAAAAGATTCCTTCACTAGTTGAAGGGAGGTAACCCAAGAACATATATTCATTTGTTTTTTTTTTTTTACTTTATAGCATTCTTGTATTTTAATTTATTTATAAGCTTCTTTAATTAAAAATATGTATTACTGAAATATTTTGTTTTTAATCCTTTATATAATTTATAGCGTTTAGTTTTTGAAATTAATTAAATATTTTTAATTAATGTATTGGACTTTGAAATTACCATTTTTATGAAGTTGAAATGACAAAACAAATATAATAAAAATAGAGAGAGTATTATTATTGTTGTTTGGAACTTTACAAATATTAAAAGAAAATATGAAAAGATAGTTGGCAGGTCGTGGAATTCAGCAAACAGTGAGAATCCCAATAACAAAGCATTTGATGCTTTTCTTCCTTCTACCACACTTATTTTTTATTCTCAAAAATTTATCAACTAGCTAGGTCTTTACTAAATAATATGTCTCCTCGTTGTCGAAACTGGAAACTATTTGATTAGATTCATGGTACTTTTTTCTTTGTTTATATGCAAATTTTATCTTAGCATCCCAATAACTGTGGAATAAACTCATAAACACATCCGCTCGTACAATGCTTCAATTATATGCGATATAGGGTTTGCAAAATTGCAATTATTATATGCTAAATTATTAAAGAACCGCTAGCTTAAGAATCAGTACGTGTACATGATAGTAATTCTCAACTTCTTGTTAAAACTTGAGCTAACAGAATTGATAGTTCGGCTAAAACACTTTGGTCCAAGAACCGGGCTGATAATGGGCCGTTCAGATAACACCCCTATTTGCTAATCTACACCCTTTTAGCATTATTGATTCTCCAAGCATCATTAACGTTTGATTCGTAGAAGACATATCATCAAAGATTCCCGAGTTAACATAAGAAAAGGCCACACGACACCATTCTTTCTTCTAGACAGAAAAGAATAAGACACTCGCACATGCTACGTCTTGCCTCGTTTTAAAAACGTGTACACGTATGTAGATATAAATGTATAAGTCTAAATCTTAATCCAAATAAAAAGACTAAAATTTCACGTTAAAACATGGCATCTAATCAAGTATCGTCCAAGAGTCATTGTTAATGGAACAAGAAGAACAAGAACGTTCCATTACTTCTATTGCCGTCATTGTAGCCGTACCATTAGGCTCCGAAACTATGGCCTATATAGTCCTTTATGTTCCAGAGAGATCAATCTTCACGATGAGCTTGACATTATGAGGCTTAACCGACCTTTTTGGGATACCGATACCGACACCAATTGGATCACTCTCCATCTTAGCAACTCATCGAGAAGTAACCGGTTCAACCATGAACTAGTTAACAACCGATGATGACTTTGTTGATTATGTCATGACTAACGAACGTGTCGGTCCACCTCCGGCCTCTTTATCGTCCATCGAGGCTGTAAAGACGGTGACAATCTCGGAAGAAGATTTGGCGAAAGAGAAGGTTTGTGCCATCTTTAAAGAGAAGTTTGAAGTTGTAGAGGAAGGCAAAGAGTTGAAATGTTTGCATTTGTAACATCCTAACTGCATTTTGTCTTGGTTGAATATTCATTATACTTGTCTCATTTGTAGCTTTGAGATTTGCTCATGGGATTATGAAAGTAACGTTGACGGAGGAGGGTCTCACCATGTGGACGATGATCGATCAAATGGTTTTCGGACTAGAATTTGTTCTTTGTGGCCTCTCCGAGTGATGTTTGATTGGGTATAGTTTTGTCGCTAAGATTCCTCCTAATATAACGTTCATGGCTATATAATTATGCTTCACAGAGACTATCTTCCATTGATGGTAGCATAAGAGTATATATATTTTAATCTAAGTTGCATTCTTTTGGATTTAGAGAGGAGAAACAAGCTTAATACGGTCTCAAAAAGTAAAAGCAGAAGAAAAACGTGGTACACGTTTGTACTAATGCCTTTGTACATAAGACACTACTCTAGCTGTTCATAAATTTCACATGATAAAGTTTCATGCATGTTACTGTTGGTCATTTGCTGCACCATCCAATCTGTAATCACCAAATTCACCAGAATTTTTAACTTTATCCTTAATGTTAAATCAAAAGGTTACTTAACAAACAATGACATTGACAATAATAAGAAATGATGAGTAGAAATTGTAAACACTTTTTTCGTGTAACCAAAACCATAATTGTTGCATTGATGAATTTTTGACAAGACCACTTAAAAAAGAGGTTAGTTATAGTTGTGATAAATAAGCAAAACCTTCTTTTCGATTTAAATTCTTTTATATCAACGAATGAAAATGCAGTAGTAGTATTATTCTTACTAAAAAAAGACCAATGTTAACCCTCGAAATAATCTTCAAAAACAAGCAATTAGTTGAAACAAATGATTCTCTAACCATAACTGGGCCTTAGTTATTAGTATTTCTCCAGCTACTTTGGCTTCTTCCTAATTATCATTATAAAAAAAACACTTTTGCTCTTCACTATCAACATCCAATATAATTTACATGAAAATGGTCAAAATAGTGGCATAACCGTAAATATAGCTAAAGTCTTCTTGACTTAACTAGTGCTTGCTTGCTCGCTCCTTTTTTTACCAGAGGTGAATCTTTCTGTTAACTGTTAGTTACTTCTAACAACCACCTTATTTTTACTTTAATTAAATAATTAATTTTAAAACTCGAAAATCCTTCTCTATAACTTCCCTCCAAGAGACCACTATAACTTCCTCTCAATTTTCTCGGCACTTTCTCGGTTGCTCTTCAACTTTCTCCACTCCAGGTCAATCTCTAACCGTCAATTTTCTTTTCGATATCTTGATTTAGTTCATATAAATTCGATTATCCACCTCGAACACTAGATCTGATCTTCTTTCACAGTAAATTTTACGCGATTCTGTTAACCTAAAAACGAAAAACCGAATCTGAATCTTTGATTACGAATTGTTTGTTGAGATTATCATAATTCATAAACCTGTTGTTTGTATACTCTTTCCGTTACAGAAACGCTCAAAAAACCTCTCCGATGGAAAACGAAACGGCGTCGTTTACTTACAGCGGCACATCCGCCTCTCACGGCGAGCCTTCCGTCGTCGCGCCGTCTCTCATACGCGATAACCTCTACCACTCGACTCGCAGCGTGATGCAGCAGCGCCAAGATATGGTGAACAGAGAGGCGTTGTGCTACACGCGCCTCCACGAGGCGTCTCTCGAAGCCGAAGTGCTCCGTCTCGAGAACACCGAGCTACGCTCGATGAATCGTCACCTCAAGAAGGAGCTTGACCAGGTGATCAGATCGTCGATCCAGAACCGATTCGGTTACGATAGGGTTCCGCTTCGGATGCTTAGCAATCTTTCGATCGGAGGGAATCGCGATGACGTGGAGGACGCGGAGAATCAGAACCGTGCGATGAATCGGGATGATGTTAGTGAGGAGAGTCCGACGAGTGTGATTGGGAGTGAGGATTTGAATCGTTCTTCGCTGCCGAAGAGCATCTCTGTGAGATCTAGTGGTTACTCGAAGGCGAGCCAAGGTGGTGGTGTTGGTGGTGGCGCGGCTGCTCAGTGTGGGAAATCTCGTGGAGTCGTAGCTAAGCCTGGGACTTGTGGTCAACAGCTCAGTACTACGGTAACTAATCTCTTCTTTGCTTTCTTGATTGTTAGAGTTGATTACAGGAGAAACGTTTTCTTGAATTACTGAGACTATAGGCTTGATTAGATTTTGAATTTGACTATGTATATATATAGAAACATTCGTTCAACTAAGTTTATGATTTAGATTCTTGACCAGAAGAAAGAAAAGAACTGTATTGATGCTGTGTTGCTTTCTCTGAAGTCTGAACTTTAATAGTGATGAATGACTGAGAGCAGGAACCAATACATCTCGGAGGAGTCTTTAAGTAGTGATTTTGGTTTAGTGTTTTGGGAAATAGGTAGCCAGTGAGACACTATAGTCTATAGACGTTTCTTAACTGTTGAATCTGAGCTGCATGTTCTGATATCTCAATCATGAATCATCTATTCCTCTGCTTTTGTTGAACTAAATATGTAGAGAGTAATGGTGATGAACGAAGGGACATGATTGAATAAAATGCAGGAAAAAATGTATTAATGAGAGGAGGCTTTAGTCAGAGTCGATATATCAACGGTTTAACTGTTTAGTCTGAGCTGTATATATGATTCTTTTTTTATGAAAGTAACACAAACCTCTGTTCCGCTGCATTATTTGAACTAAATGACTTTAATGGAATTGCAGCAAAGGGTGTATGTGCGAGGAGGGAAGAAGGAAGAAGAGGAGGAGATAGAAGTGGAGGTGTACAATCAAGGGATGACAAAGACAGAGCTCTGCAACAAGTGGCAAGAGACAGGGACATGCCCATACGGTGACCACTGCCAGTTCGCTCATGGAATCAAAGAACTCCGCCCAGTGATCCGCCATCCTCGTTACAAGACTGAGGTTTGCAGAATGGTACTTGCTGGTGACATCTGTCCTTATGGCCACCGTTGCCACTTCCGCCACTCACTATCCGAGCAAGAGAAGCTCATGGCCGCTGCTTGCAAACCCAACAACAAGTCCTCCTTCAAGCTGGTCAAATGACCATAGGTAATCTTGAAAACACACAAGGTTTGAACCGTATATACCCTATAATTGAACAGTACTATACCCTACCCTACAGAGATATTTTGATAGCTACTCAAAGGATTTGGAAAAAAATAGCATATTGGTAAAAGGAAGTGAATAATGTTGCATTCGTAAGAGCGTGTTTTGTGACTAAGTGGAGTTGTTTGAACATTGCTTATTCTGAGACTTTGAATTCGTTATTCAGATGATTGTTTTGTTAATTACATAGTAGAGGTTTAAAGCTTTTGTTTTTGTATATCTCTAAATGAGAGGTTTACCATAACCAATGTAAATATGCCACGCATCCAGGAACATGTGCATTCACCTCAAAGCTAGAACATGTAGTATTGTAAACATGTCCATTTGCGCTGAGGTCCTGAATCCGAACCCGCCAAAGCCCTATAAATTACTGGGTTTAGACTTAGTTTCGATATTTCTTAAATTCTTGTTACAAACGAGAATGAAGGGGAAAAAATGTATTCATATTGTTCACCATTATTACTAAATAGTAAATACTAATGTTGTTGTTGTCCACCATCGATCGATCATGAATTCACGAGTAAACGCGCATTAGGTAGGTATACATTATACAACACCACAATCTTAATTCAGAAGTTAACAACTCATTACTAAATAGAGAAAATTGCATAAAAAATCATGAACTTGGCAAAAATTTGCATTTTAAATCTTGATGCTCAACTGCTAACACTTTAAACAATGAAACTTGTAACAATAACATATTAAACATCAAACTAACTTACTTGTTGCACACGTCAAAATTGTGACCTGTTACTATTCACTAGCAAGTAAAAAGCGGTGACGTGGCGGTTTACCTAAAAAAAAAATAATAAAAATAATAAAATTAGATAAAAAATCAATATAAATTCTAAAATTTGATATAAATTTAGGAAAAATAAAGAAAATAAATAAAATTCAGAAATTTTAAAACATAAAAATAAATTTATAAATTTAAAAGTTTATAATAAAAATAAAAATAAATAGTAAAAATAATAAAAAGAAAAAATTCGATAAAAAATGTAAAAATAGATAAAAAATAGAAAAAGTGTAAAAATCGATAAAAAAAATATCAAAATATTAAGCGTTCAGATGTCCGGGTTCAGATCCTTCAGATCATAGAGATTTAGATTCAAAACTTTTGTCAATTTCATGGGGTTTTGCCAATTTTTCCACTTTCGTGGTTTTCTTTTTTTTTCCAGATTTTTTTCTTAATTTTTAATCAATTTTTATAATTTATTTTTGTTATTATTATTATTTTCTTGAATTAATCAATATATTTTTTTATTGATCTTTATTAGTTTTCAATTTAAGTATTTTAATTTTTTGAATTTGTGAATTTTATTTTCCCTGATTTTATTAAATTTTCCTAATTTTTATCGATCTTTTTGATTTTTGATTTTTTTTTATTTTAGTTTTGAAGTTTTATTTTTTCCAGTTTTTTGTAAATTTCCTCTTTTCTAATTTTTACCGATTTTTACACTTTTTTAACTTTAATTTTTTTTTATTTTTACTCTTTTTTTAGTTTTAATCAATTTTTACTATTTATTTTTATTTTAAACTTTTGAATTTATAAATTTTTATTTTATTTTTTTAATTGCTAAATTTATTTATTTAGTTTATTTTTGCTGAATTTATTTATTTTCTTTATTTTTCCTGAATTTATATCAATTTTTTAATTTTATTAATTTTTTATCTAATTTTTTTGTTTTTATTATTAAAAAAATAAAAATAAACCGGCACATCACCATTTTCTATCGTTAGTGAACAGTAACATGTCACAATTTTTACGTGTGCAACAAGTAAATTAGTTCGATATTTAATATAATATTGTTACAAGTTTCATTGTTTAAAGTGTTAACAGTTGAGCCTTAAAGTTTAAAGTGGAAACTTTTGCCAATTTGTGATGCAATTTTCCCTTACAATATTAATGTTGTTGTTGTTGTCTGTCATCGATCATGAATTCAAGTAAACGCGCATTAGGTAAGGGTATACATTATACAACACCACAATCTTAATTTAGAAGTTAACAACTTATGGTAATTTTTTCCTTGCATTCAAGTCATGGATATAAAAATGAATTTTGTTCTTATTCCTATTTTCATTTTTTTTTTTTTAATTTCTGAATGAACATGAAAGTTAATTAAGAGCTTGAAGTTTACGAAAATGAAATACCTCTTACATTTGACCTATCATTATATCATATGAAGATAACTAGATTTTTGACCCGCGAGTACTATTTTTGTTGTTTTATCTACAGATGAATCGATAAGTTTTTCGTTTTGATGATATAAAATGTCACAGAATCAAGATCAAGTTATTATGCGGATCAGACAACTTTTTTAATGTTTCTAAACAAATTAACAATTATTGTATCTGAAATGTGTACTTGAGAAAGATCGTATATTTAACAATTAAATGGTCTATTTATTTTTAGTTTTGTGATTAATTCGTAAAATCATTTAATTAAAAAAATTCAATCGTTCAGTCCGACCCGCTCCATCCGACCCACAGCGGGTTGAATCATATTTTCGACTAAAAAATTTGACCCCTCTAACCCGCAAAAAAATATATTTTTGCAAGAATTTTTTATAAAATTTGGAAGAAAATCAGTCAATTAGTGAAACTCATTAGTATATAATTTTAGGTCCAAAAACAAAAAGACCATATTGTCATTAATGAAAATAAAAATATGTTCATATCATTAAGGATATAATTAGAAAACAGAAAAATTCATTAAACAAATATTTATGTTTTAATGGTATTAATGATGATATATTTTCAAAACAATAGTCCTGAAGAATTTTGTAATTTCTTATCCAAGAAAGCTTTTCTCACTAAGTTCTTTATCAGTAGAAAGAAAAACGATTAGCTCTAGTGTACCAAATATTGATGAGGTGAACGATATAAGAGCACCTGCATCAAGAGTTGTAAGGAGGGGGTCACACAAATCTCAAAAAAAAAATTAATATATTAATCTGATGCAGATGAACCCACGTCAGGTAAGTTTACTCCAGTGAACCCGTATCAATACTATTCATAGGTACTACTGACACGTGGTGGTCATGATTGATCTGTTGATTTTTTTTTTTTTAAAAAAATATTAAACGAAAGAAAAAATTAAAAATTAATAAAAAAATTTGGGAATCGGGAATTTGAGAGGTTTATTGGTGCAGATGCTCTAACATTGAATATTCTCTTGAATCTTGAGGGGTGGCTTTTTGCTCAATTTAATATGAGTGTTACTATTTTCAACAACATTCTGTTGTGAAAATATATATATTTTTTGAAGTCCAATGGGCCTGTAATTAACACGGGCTAATATTTTCTAGAGATTCTAATGGTGACCGGGAGTTGCTATCACCGGTAAAAAGGACAAAGGGTGGGGCCGACAACTTAGCGGTGATCCAGCTATTACGGCAGAGCATATTGATCTTTGTCAAAAGGGGGAGCCTCCTCCTACCTAGAAACGACCTGAAGAATCTTTTGTATTATACTCCACAAATCTAAGATTAATAACTCAGCAAAATGACAAATGGGCGTCTTCTTTGGATGATTACTTATCTCGTCCAAAATGACATTGAAAGGATAAGCTAGCAATGATGGAGACACTATGACAATCCAAAATACGAAATGATTTGTTATATTACTTATTCAATATAAACGAAATTAATTATTTTGAATAAATATCTCAAAAGTTGCAGAAATTCGTGTATTATTTTTAAAATGAAACTTGATGTGTTGCCAAAAGAAAAAAAAAATATTGATGTAAAATTTTCAAATTTCTTTTGAAATATTCACTAATAAGCTAATAATTTATGTTATAGATATTAAGATAATTTTTTTAAAAGTTAGAAATATTAGATATTAAATTGATTTTACAAAAAAAGTCGAAATATACTATCATATGTTTGCTCTCAGTCCAAAATATTAATGTTAAAAATCGAAATAAAAAGAAAAACAAATATCAAGACACTTTAGTGTCTCTTCACACTTGACCAAAACACTAAAGAGACAAAAGAGCAAAGAAAAAGAGGGAGAGGAGAGAACGAAATCAATGGCGGTCTCCGTTCCCATTCTCGTCGTCGTCACTTCCCTTCACCTCCTCGCCTTCGTATTCGCCTTTGGCGCCGAACGACGCCGTAGCACTGTACTCTTCCTTCTCTCTCTCTCTCTCTCTTTCTATTTTCGTCGATTTAATCATTTCTTCTCTCTCTTTTGTACAGGCTGAAGCAGTTCCGGACCAGTACGATGAGCAGACCTTCTGCCAATACGGAACAGAGGCGTCTACGGTGTACGGCATGTCGGCGTTTGGGCTGCTTCTTGTGAGCCAAGCGGTTGTTAACGGCGTTACAAAGTGTCTCTGTTGCGGAAAGGGTCTCGTCACTGGCACTTCTTACACCGTTTGGGCTATTGTCTTCTTCATCGTCTCTTGGTAATGTTCAAACCTTTCCTCTCTAACTTCACTTCCTTTTAAGTAAAGATTCAAACTTTATTCAGCAAACCAAGATCTGAAATTGCAAGTCATAGAAAAAGCTAAAGAATTGAACTTTGAACTGATAGTTAAGAGAAAGTTATGTCTTTGATTGCTTTGTGTTGATAAAGTCCAGATCTTTGAGTTGAAAAAAATACTTTGCAGGGTAAGTTTTTTAGGTGCTGAGGCGTGTTTGTTAGCAGGATCAGCAAAGAACGCTTACCACACCAAAAACAAAGGCGTTTACCAAGGGAAAGAGCTTTCTTGTGCGGTTTTACCGGTTGGTGTATTTGCTGCTGGAGCTGCTCTGACTCTCATGTCTTTGATTGCAACCGTTTTATACTACTTGGCTCATTCTAAGGCTGACACTGGTGGATGGGAGAAGCATCATAATGACGGCATTGGTATGACTTCTCCTGGTGATGTTCCAAAGCAGCAGAACACCGATTTCGACAAGGTTTAAACGGACTTATGTTTTGGTTCTTATGATAGTAACTATGCTTTTTTTTAAGACAGGGGTATAAACTAATATAAAATGTTGTGTTGTTGTAATTGTTCATATAAACTCGTATCCTTAGATGTAATGTTGGCTTAAGAATGTCTGCATATGTGAAACTTGGGTTGGCTCTTTAGCTTCTCACTTAGCTTTACTAGGGATGCGATCAATCAGGGATAATAAGTTTTAACTAAACTTAGGCATGCTAGTTCGGTTAACCAGATCAAGGTGTGCTTTTCGGTTATTAGTTAACCGAAAATTTTCTAGAAGATTGCCGAAATAAACAAACGAATTTCAGTTTGGCTATCGGTTAGTGTTGGTTTAGAGTATTAACCAATAATTTTAGGAAAGTCAGATAAATTTGTTCAATTATAGTATTTTGGTCTATATAATTGGGAATTTGAGAATGGTAATACAATTGGATTGATTTTGGTGTAACCAGCCTAATACTTTGTGTAATGTAGTATAACTCGATTAGGAAAGAAATCCGTTCAAACCAGACCAAGCTGGTAGTCGAAGTGATTTTGAAATGTTATAAATCCGTTCAAAGGTTGAATCAACATAAACCGATCAGAACCGAAAACTAAATTGTTAGATCAATTATTAGGCCCGGTAATAACAACTTTGAATATTCTTGCATGAGCAAGGGTTTTAAACAAAGAGCTAAGATCAAAACGTTGATTAACTCATGTAACAAAATAAAACTGATGAGGCTTTGCAACATGCTAAAGCCATACCTTTCCCAAATCTCAAATCGCTTTCTTCTTTATGATGAATCCAAGAACAAATCCTTTCTTATCTTTTTTTTTTTTTTTTTTTTTTTTTTTTTTTTTTTTTTTTTTTTTTTTNATATCGGTAGCTGTTCTCAACCATCAACGTGACTCTAGGGAAAGTGAGGTTCTCCTCGTTTCCTCGGATGCCGGGAGTTCCCTTGACGTTTCCGGAGTAGCTAGTTCCCGATGAACTCCACAAAACTCATAACTTTCTCTGTCAATGAAGCACAAGACGGCCGAAGAGGAGAGTTCAAAAACATACCAATGCCTTGCGAATGCCACCAAAGCCGGAATGATATAAACGCCACACAGCGCCTGAACCGCTACCTAGACGAGTAAGCACTCGCTTCTGCCATCAACACGACCTATACAAAGATGGGTGGTCTCCACCGCCACGACCTGGAAAGCAGTCCCTAAACCTGCAAGAAAGACCAACTACACCACCATAGAACACTATGGTGCCCGGATGTGATCATTGATAGGATGCGGCTTGGAGACGATGAATGACTCCCGAGAACCGTCTATGCATCCCTGGCCTTTGAGAACCAAAGGACCACTTTTTTGACTACTAAAAATTCAACCCCTAAGCCAAAGGATTGATACCACGAGGAAGAACCAGAGACTTAACTCCTCAAGTGAAACCGTCGTCAAACTTTTGGAGAAAACTGAACAGGCCGCCGGGAGCGGGACCTGAAAAGAAGCTGTGGCGCACGTAGAGACCTTCTCAAAGCCATAGACGACCCGTCGAAAGTAACCAGAAGCACACACGCGAAGAATTGAGCAGGACACTCTCACCACGATTACATCCGCCTACAACCTCGCCTCCGACTCCAAACAAGACCGGAGCACTCCTGATAACAGTGAGAAGCTACCGGAATCTCTCCGACCCGAAGAAACCCTAAGTAAACCACCACCATCACCGAACAAGCACAAAACACAGGATCTGCAGTAGCTAACCACCGCCGAACCCAGCCGCGACAAGACCCTTCGCTACCACTCCACGACGACGAAGACCGGAGAGATCCCAAAAAGGAAAATTGAATCTCTCCACCAACCCAAAACCGACTCTGAACACCCACGCGCCTCACCGACTCGTCAAATCTCCAGGACAGAAGTCAACAGCTACAGATCTACAACTCCCCGGAGCAGTTGCAGAGGAACCTGCGGCGGAGCACGAACCAGAGGCATCAACATATCGTACGGATCCACAAACAAGGGTGAAACAGAGCAAAGGAGAAAGAGAAAGAGGAAAGGAAGCAGCCTCCGGCGACCACGCGCGCAACCGCCGGTCACCGGAGCAAGGAGAGCCGGATTTGTTTTATAAAGACAATCCTTTCTTATCTATATATTATAAAGACCTTTGAATCTTAGAGCTTAGCTAACAAAAAGGCTACTGTTGTTAATTATAAACGCGAAATCATGACCGAAAGAGATCAACATGGAGGTTCTTCATCGAGAAGACGAAGATCTCTGTACCATAATCTAGGAGGAGGACATTGTAACAACATACATATATCTTTTTTTCTTTTAATCTGACGTTCTTCTTTGTTCTTTAATATTCCTATCTTAACGAGATTTGCTCTTGAAATGTTGTAGTTGCTGATATAATGTTCTGGAAAAACAAGAGAGAATCAGGAACAATCTTGGCGGTTTCACATTATTATGGTTCTTATTCGAAGTGGTAGAGTATCCTTTCATCACATTCCTCTGCCAGATCCTCTTACTCTCCATCTTCATATTCCTCATTTGGTCATACATTGGCTCTTCACAACTAATCAAGCGGTAGTTAAATTAAAAAAAAAAACATTAACAATTGATTCTTCTTATGAAACAAAGTACTCAAAGAACATGCCGTGTCGTGCAGGCAACCACCAAGTATTGACGACCTAAAGATCTCGGAATCAACTTGGAGAGTCTTGTTCGACAAGATAACTTGGTTTATTATTAAATTGTATGATGTTTCAAGTGGAACAGACTTCAGACTCCTAGTTTTGGTAAATAAATATACACCTTAATTTTCAAGAAGTATTAACTTCACCTCAAGATTGTTTGGATTGAAAAATTGTGTCACGTTCTGTTTTCAGGCTGTTGTTTCACTGTGGATATTATCAGTCGTGGGAAACTATTTCAGCTCTCTAACTTTGTTATACATCGGTGAGTCTTTATGATTTTATCATTGTTAGACTTTTCTGTTTATATAGGGTATGTTTTAAATAACAAAAAAAAAACTGTGTGATTATGTTGGTAAAGTGTTTGTGGGTCTGGAGACGATACCAATGCTGTATGAGCTATACGAAGAAGAGCTGAACTATGCAGCAAGTAGAAGTGGTATGAAAATGAGGAAGCTCTTTGACAACTTCAACTCTAAAGTCATTAACAAGATCCCTAAAGCTAATGACAAAACTAAGAGGCGTATGTAATGTCATTATGCTGAATCTGTACATGTTACATCGTAAAAACTTGTATGTCTTTGTTCACGTAATCATGAATGCTCAAGTCGAAATTGAATGGTGCATTGTTGGCCAAAAAAAAAAAAAAAATTACATTGTAGCTTGGTTTGGAGAGACATAGGTAGCTTGTGTTTTGGTTGTTGACGTTTTTCAGCCTGAATGTGTGTTCTTTTTCTTTTTGGTAAATGAAATAGCCCAAAATTTAATTTAATCAATTTGTTACGTTAAGTGTATGGTGGGGAGCCTATTTTCTGTGTGAACCATGGATTTAGGAAACTCACCCATCTTTGTTGTTCCTACCTCTCTCTCACTCTCCAACGCTTTTTCTTTTCTTTCCTTTTCATCCTTTACTAAGCATATAAATATATTGAAAGCTTAGTTGATTTAATTTCTAAAGATAGATGACAAAGGTCACTTAGGAAAATCTCTTCCATCTCAATTCTCAAACCAAACCAAACCATACACTCAACCAATTCATTGAGCTGTCACTTTGGATAAAGATATGTAATACAGATTCAACAAAAGCAGGAAGGTACAAAGTTTGCCTTCAAGCTCTACTTGCTTGCTTAACCTACTTTTCTAATCAAGCCATTTTGTCGATCATATGGTAAGCAGAAGCAAAGAGTCAGTATAACTATAAAGCACCAAAGCGTTTACCATTAATACAAAACCATACTATGCAATGGATAAGTCATTCATCAGAATCTATATAAGTGCCTTAACAACACATCAAACCAAAACAGGTAATGCACTCTAATAACATAAATTTAAAACCAAAAAAGAACAAAAGTATGCTTCTTTCATCAATCCACACAGTGACTCACAATTCAAACTCATCTTCCAACTTCAAAGCCTCAGCAGCAGCCTCCTCTTCATCATCATCAACAACAAAGTAAGGATTATGCACCTCAGGCCTAAACTTATACCCAGTAAACACATAAAACGCCAATGTAGCCAACTCACTCGCAACAACACTAGTCCACATATACTTATAAGAAGTAATCGTCTCCAACGCATACACAACAACTCTAGTAAAGTAGATATAGCATATAACCACAATGTAGTAATGCCTAAACAAAGTCAACTTAACCAAGTTCACAGCCGCCTTGCCATCAGTCTTCGCCGCCTCACGCAAGTTCTTAATAGACCACACAATGGGAAACAACACAGCACAGCAACAAACCACATCAACAAGCAAAAAAATCTGTTTCCAAGTAACCCAATCTTGCCCATACGGCCCCGTTTCATCGATAACAACCTGCGCGAAATTAGCAACAACCTGAAGAGGAATGACTATCATCAACACTTTCTTCTCCTTGTCCTGCAAGTAAGGCTTCAAGAAAGACCACCCCGTCCCAATCAAAACAATCAAAGTGAATAACGTGATTCCCTTGAGAAAACTAAAGATGTAAAACAACACATCCCATCCATGACCGTTCCCCGTCTTCTTAATGTAAGACTTATCCTCAGCCTCGCATAACAGATTCAACGCTTTCAAAACCACAACTCCAAGCATGAAGAAATGAATCGCGAAAACGGTTAACCGTTTCTTGTTAAGAATATAGATCCACGTGGCGGCTAACGAGAAGTAGATCACGGAGAAGAGGAAATAGACTTTGGGGAGGACGGTTCTCCCCGCGGAGAGGTAATCTCTCCCTCCGCTCTTCCCTTCGAGGTTATACATTGCGGATCTAACGTCCATGGAGACTTTCACCGTCTGGAGACAGTTGGCGAAGACGAGGGAGTACTGATCGGCGTCGTTTTGGGAGAAGACGGTGGAGAAGGAGGTGTTGCGGTTGAGTCTGTTGAAGGTGAAGACGTGTTTGACGAGATCCGATTGGAGAGCGCACGTGATCTCTTCTTCCTCGAGTTGTTGGATCACGTGCACCCAGGCGTCGCGCGTGCAGAGGAAGAAGCCGACCTTGGAGAGGTCGAGGTCCGGGTTGGTGTTTGAGAGGGAGATTTTGGAGGCGTCGAGCTCGAGGCGGCCTGTGTGAGTGAATCCGAATTCGTCGAGGGGGATGATGGGGCGGTCGTCGGATCGGATCTCGGATTTGCGGATCTCGGCGAAGGAGGTGGTGAGGGTGAGGAAGAGGATGAGGAGCGATGAGAGGCGATGAGGGAGATCCATGGTGGTTACTGGTTAGGGTTTCGTTGTGTGTGATTACGGAGAGAAGAGAGAGAGAGAGAGAGCTTAGATTCAATTGTGTTGTTCTTCGTGAGAGGTCTGATGATCTAGGCCGTTAGTTTATAGATGTGAATGAGAGCCGTACGATCTACGCAGGTTAATTGGATCATGTATCGTTGACTAGAAGTTTATGTATTGGTTCGGTTCTAAATTCTGATCGGTTTAGTGTTATCAAACCACTCCTCTCGGTTTTACTGATCTAATAATAATCCCCTCGTGTTTTGACTTGCAATTCACTATTCAAATTCTAACGTTTTGTGTGTATACTACTTGGATGTTTTAGCTGTATCTTCCTACTGTTTTGTATTTTCTTTCAAGGTTGCATATTTTGTTTCTTGTCAACATAAAAGTACACACCTTGTATTATCTGGATTGTAGTTTTCATATATATAGGGGCTTATGATGGGTACATTTAGCAATTTTAACTGGGTTCAATAAAATACAGGAAAATCCTGAGAATTTGGGTGGTACAAATCAAACAGCTTCGTCTTGGCGTTGGAACTGAACAAATTTGGAGCGTAGATGAGGAGGGATACGAACAGGACGGTACTTGTTGTCAAGCCACACAGCTATTCCTGTTGCCTGTAAGATAGGCTGCTTTGTTTGTATACATACATACCAAGTGATTCCATATCAGTAGACAACATTCGAAGAATAACCAACAAACACAAAAAGGCTTAATGAGAAGAGGTTAACCTCTAGATTTGGAAGTTTGAAGATGAAATGATCAAAGTAAATACGCGCAGCAGATGTCCCCGATACTCTCGCTTTCACCACAAACCTGTCTCCGCTCTGTGCTCAGAAGCAGATGAAATTCGTTAGTTACATACAAAATGTGAGGAATGCTCAAGGGAGAAGGAGAGCAGGAGGAGATTACGCGTAAGGGAGCAAGGAACTTTATAGCCAACTCAGAAAGCGCTAAGGCTTGACCAGAACGTGCGACTTCATCACAGTTGATACCGATACTCTCCAGAAACTCGTGTCGGGCTTTAGTAAGAAAAAGATGTAGACAAGAAACATGAGTTGGTAAGAACAGGGCAGTTTTAGACCCAGTCATCATACACTTCCCTTGAGTTACTTACATTTCTCAGGTAAATTATATGAACCGTTGCTTCGTTTTTTTTTTTAAAATGTGAAATGCACATAGCTCAAAGATATGACTCTACAACTTACTAACAAGATGTACTTCAAATATGGGCAAACAAAGCTGCATATGGGCAAGAGGAAGACTCGAAAAGGTTTAACTAGCTAAGATCTTGAGTACAAGATTTTAACATTTAACATGCAGACAAGAATTCTGAAACAAATAGACTTGTTGACTTTAAGAAATGTTGAAAAGAAGTAAGCAAGGAAGATTATATAAACAGACCGTGTTGACAGTAGTTAGCGTAGACAGCATTGTTCACAACACCAAACTGATCCAATTCATAATCACGAACTTTGAGCTCTACCTCATGGAACCCGCTCATGCTGCCATATCAAGATTTCAATTCAAGATTTAGATTACTCAACTCTTAACAACAAATATGGCCTTGGAAATATCGCAATTCTGATCCATCTTTGTAAATCGTTACCTAGAAATCAGATATACAATTTCGATAAAAAAACGTAAAAGAAAAGTTGAGAGATGTAATATTTACCCTTTGCCACCTTTGATATCGAGAATTGCGAGAGGATTGATGGTTTTTGAGCTCCGGAGAGGTGAAATAAGGGATCGCCTTGATGAATAAGGGAACACCACCGGCCGTTTAAGTAGATTGGGCGGTGATGCAGTCATAGACATAGCTGGAACCGCCGTGTGGGTGACCTGAAACATCCCAGATTTGAATTTTTATTAGTGGAGTGACGATTTTAACAAATGTTTGATGGGGTTAGGTTTGGTCTGAGAGGGAGCTTTTAGTTCGGGAAAAGCGTGTTCTTGTTGTGAAAATTGGTTTCAGTTTGAAAAGTTAGACCATCCACTCAAATCTATGCATTAAACTAATCAAATTAGTTTAACTGCCCATTTTCAATTTGCTTAACCGAGATTTAAATAATCAAATCGGTTTAACTGAGATCTATATAACCAAACCGGTTTAACTGAGATCTTTTACAATTTAGGAGCCATATCCTCCTGTAAAGAATATGATTGCATTAATGTCACATATCTTCTATGATTATAAAACTGGAGAAACACGAGGGAAGAAGTAACATTTGTTTCCACGTGAACCCATTTTGATTTCACACAGGATTCATTTCCTAAACAAAAAGATTCCGTATCTACAAAATATTATATACCTATCATTGCTCACTTTTGACCTTCAACAAGCTGTTCACACCAATACACACATGTTCTTCCCATCCAAATCTACGCTATTTACTTCCTTCTACGTCTTCATTCTCCATCACCATTATATATACTAACATACAAGTGCCAAAAGATAACTCAACCATCTCCTAAGTGCATTTTTTCAAATGGCAAACCAAATATGGTTATTACATGTAGTGATGATCATCACTGCTTTGTTTCTTTACTCAGCACCTAACGTCCATGGCTGGGGTATTGAAGGTCACACCATCGTCTGTAAAATCGCTCAGGTTCTTGATTTCTTGTTTATAGTCTTCTCCTCTTTCGGTTTATTATCACTGTATTGACTAATAAGTAAGGAGAAGTACAGGCTAGGTTGGATGAAACTGCAGCAAAGGCAGTGAAAGATCTGTTACCTGAATCTGCACAAGGAGACTTGTCAAGCTTGTGTGATTGGGCTGACCGTGTCAAGTTCAGATACCATTGGTCTTCTCCTCTTCATTACATCAACACTCCTGATGTTTGTTCCTACCAATACACTAGTGAGAGTTCTTTTTTTTTTTTACATAATCAGTAAAATACAAAAGTGAGAAGATTTACAACCACATTTTCTTATGGGGCTTTGTTTATTTTTGGGGTCTTAAAAGGGGACTGCAAGGACGAAGATGGTGTGAAAGGAAGATGTGTAGCAGGAGCCATCTACAATTACACTACACAGCTTCTTACTTACAACACTGCAGCTGCATCGTCGCCACAATGTACCCCCAAAAACTTACCACACCAACTCACTCATCTTCTATCTCCCTCACATGTTCTCTTTTTCTTGTTTTCAGACAACTTAACAGAGGCCCTGCTCTTCCTGTCTCATTTCATGGGTGATATCCATCAGGTATAAATCACAAACTCGATCCAGATCAACGAGTTTTGTATCTGGGGCATGTCTAAATAGCATAGTTGTTAAAATGCAGCCTCTACATGTGAGTTTTGCTTCGGACAAAGGAGGGAACACCATCGAAGTGCATTGGTACACGAGAAAAGCTAACCTTCACCATGTAAGAAAACAAAATTAAATACAAACTTCTGACGAAGGCCTATGTTAACTTGAACATCAGATATCATACAACAAAGTCCTAAGCTTTAGAATTCACACAGGTTTGGGATTCCAGCATTATTGAGACCGCTGAAGCAGATTTCTATAACTCCGAGTTAGACGGAATGGTGGATGCAATCAACAAGAATATCACGGTACTCATAAATGGAAAAACATAGTTTTTTTTTTACCTGTATGCTGCAATACAAGGCGTTTCTGACTTGTTGACATATGTTCAATAAAATGCAGACAGAATGGGCAGATCAAGTCACTAGGTGGGAGATTTGCACAAGGAAGACAGCATGCCCAGACATGTAAGTCAGATACAAACATTACAGTACCTTTTTTCTCTTCAAGTAAGTAAGAAACCAGATCTTAACTTCCACTTGCTTTCTTCTGAAGCTATGCTGCCGAAGGAATTAAAGCAGCTTGCGACTGGGCATACAAAGGAGTAACTGAAGGAGATACTCTAGAAGGTAAAGAGTTCACCAAAAAACACTCTTGATTATTCAAGAAGCTTAAGAAGCTAACAAGAACTTAATAATGTCATTCTTCACAGATGAATACTTCTATTCACGCCTACCGATAGTGTATCAGCGCTTGGCACAGGGAGGAGTGAGACTAGCAGCAACACTAAACAGGATTTTCGGCCAAAGCTAAGCTGAGTTTATCAGCATGTGATAGTTTTAAGTACTGTTTCCTGTCATTATATCAGATTATAAAATCTACAAATTGGAACAAAGAGAAGAGCATAGCAAATCTCGTTATTTATCAAACTAATAATATATTTATTTGCATTCACAAAGTTTCTTCAAACAGTAGTATACAAATCAAGCATTATTATCAATATGTTTACAACACACATACGGCAAACCGGTTCTTGAACTTGTCGAGAGAAGGGTCTTCAAGGCTTTGTCCTCACCACAAGAACTGGACACTTAGCCTTGTTAACACAGTAATTGCTAACACTTCCAAGGAAAGTCCTGTCCACAACACAAACACACATTATCATCTTCAAGAATCATATTAATATGTTCTTGTTAAGACGTTAAAGCAATTATTACACACACAGACCTTTCTAGTGCCCCTTTACCATTACTCCCAACAATAAGCAAATCAACACCAAGCTTCTCAACAGCATCACATATCGCTTCTTTAGGGTTTCCAAACTCCATCACCTTCTTTGGAGTAACCTGTTACACAAACCAAGTCAGATACTTTATGTTACCCATACAAAACAAAGAGTTCTAATTAGTGAACACAAACCCCACTCTCAGCACAGATCTTGGTCCCTTCCTCAAGCCGATTCAACGCTGCGTTTTTGTAATTCTGTTGCATTGAGTTAATCAACTCAATCGCTGCAAAAAAACAGAAGACAACACTCAACACTCAACACTCAACACTCAACTCAATCAATTACTAAAGAGAGGAAAATAGAAAACAGATGATGAAGAATACTAACGAGCGGCGCCATAAGAGGTAGCGTAGACGGAGCTGAGATCAAGTTGAGGCTGTGCGGTGAAGAGGATGATCTCGGAATCGGCGAGGCTTTCTTTGAGATAGACGAGCGTCCAGCGGAGAGCGTGTTTACTGCAATCGCTGTCGTCGATCGCCACCATCACTTGCTTCTTCTTCCCGCTTTTCTCTTCCGCCATGGTTTCTTCGAAGTGATTCGTGAAGATGAGTTTGATTTGACTACTACAAGTTTGATCAATATCATTTTAGAGAGCCAGAAGAAAGGAAAGGGACCGAATCACGTGTTGATGACGTGTCGAACCATAAAGAAACCCACGTGACTCTTCTAGAGTCTCCAGTTAAATGGGCCTGGCCCAATTTTAAACTTATAGTGTCAGGTTTTTTTTTTTTTTTTCCAATCACTATTTACTAATGGTGACCAGTCGAGTCGATTCTCTGAGGAAAAACTCCGTCTGACCGGTCTGATTTATATGGAGAAACGAATAACCTCTACTCATTGCTTCTTTAGCTAGTGCATCCGCTCATCCATTTCTACTTCGTGGAATATAATACAGACTTACATTATTAAAATTCTCTCGTAATCGCTGAAATAACTCGATCTTTGTTGCGTAAGCTGGCCAGTCCTCCGATCTAATAGACATGTTCACAAGATCCGTATATTCTGTCACAATCCGTAGAGTGTCAGGTCCTTATAAAAATATCTTCTGGAGACGTCAGTTACATGGGCCTGGCCCAACTTCGTTTTTCTAGCATCAATGAACAAATTATTTTTTTTTCTTGCTTACGTTATTCATAAATTAATTCTCATTTTTGCTTCTTCTTGTTCGTCTTCCACCAGCTCTCATCTCTCATCTCTCTAATCGAATTGAACTTTTGCGCCAGAGTACGTTTATTTATTTATTCGATGATTGATTCTTCCTTTGGAATCTATGCTTGATTCTGAATTGAACTTTTTGTTGGCAGGAGAGGGAAGAAAATGGTGTCTGGATTAATCAACGAGAACCCAATCGTTTACGAGAGAAAGGAGCGTCGTGATGTTCGTACTGATTCGAGCAATACAAATGAGCTATCAGTAGATACAATCGATCAGCTCGAAGTTTTCGATATCCTTTTTGTTCGGTTCTCTAATTGCAAAAGCTTATGTATATTGGGATCATTTTTTTAAGTTATACTTAACATTAGTTGAGCACATCATATAAGAGATATAAAAGATCCAGAGCATCCTTACTCTCTGGAACAACTCAAAGTCCTTACAGAAGATTCTGTTGAAGTTGATGATAGCAAGAGTCATGTTAGGTTCAAACAATTAACCTTTTTGTTACTTCTATGCTATGAGCTTTAATTTTCAGGTCATGCTGACGTTTCTTGCTATTTTCTTTAGGGTTACATTCACTCCAACTGTGGAACATTGTAGCATGGCAACCATTATTGGTCTTTGTGTCCGCGTGAAGCTTATGCGTAGCCTTCCTTCTCGTTACAAGGTAACATTCTTATTTTTGAGCGTTTTCAAGATGATCTTTTGAGCCCATTTTATCACTTATCCATTTACTGAGAGAGAGTGGTTTTAACATAGCTTAATTAAGAAAATCTGTACTATTGTTGAGAAATCATTGTCATTATGTGCTGCAGTAAATAAAAGTTCACACCAACACCATATTCTCCTTGTATTATCTGATTCTGAGGCGAATAACCTTTTACTTGCTTCATTCTAAGCTTATTGTTATGGTGGTTCTAAGAGAGTTTAGCTTCAGCCTCTACTATATGTTATTACAGTATTGAGTGTTCTATGTGCCGCTTTGGAACTATTCTTTTCTTTTTTTTGCAGATTGATATAAGGGTAGCGCCCGGTACTCATGCAACTGAGGCTGCAGGTATGTCATTTTTCCATATCCTTTCTACCTTTTCCTGCAGTTGATTCTTGAAATAGCTAATGAAACATTAAATCTCACTTGATGCGGCAAATGGGTAGAGATCCATATTCTGTCTGAACCTCATATGTTTATATAGTTTCCTCACTCTGGAAAATGCAGTCAATAAACAACTAAACGACAAAGAGCGTGTGGCGGCTGCACTAGAGAATCCAAACCTTGTGGAGATGGTCGATGAGTGTCTCTCTCCATCATTTGAATGATGCCTTTGATGCTCTCAGTGTACACTATCTTATATGTCTCTGCTTTGTCTAGCAAAGATTTTGATGCACTAGGACTTACTTTGTGTTTAGTTTTGTGTTATAATCCTGTTAAAGACTGAGAATATATCCACAGAAGACGAGTTATTGATTTCATCCTCTAAAGCTACATCTCAAAAAGGATTATTTCAAATACTCGACGTCTCCTGTTCTCTTATTGTTCCGTTTGTAGTCTATCTTAAGTCACATTCCTTGTCACTACTGAACTTGTTAGTTGTTACACATATTTGTTCTTTCACACATTTGTTCCATTTGTTGCCATCTTGTTATGTTATAACTCGGATTTATATCAACTTAACCGGGCCTATTGATAGTATCTTAACTAAATGAATGTGATGAGTGTAATCCCTAGATTGAGTTCTCTTCCTCTCTTTCATCCAAGGCCTTGAGATTATTTTACCGAACCAATGTTTGAGGATTTGGCTCGGTTCAACCGAATGTTAGAAATCTAAAAAAATTAAACCTTAAAAATCTAATAACAATCCATAAGAAACATGTTATTACAATAAAAAAAATTGGACGAATTTTGAAAATTTGGCATTATGCAAAAGCTGAAAAACTTAACTGAGCTAAATCAACTGGACGACCCAAAATCGCAGTCCTAATCTTACATCCTAATCTTACATCTATGATTATTTTCGATAGACAAAAATGATTGTCACTAATAGTACTATCAAAATGGTATTGTTGATTGTTTAGTAAAACGGTAATGTGGACACACATGTCAAATCATACTTTATCTTCTTTATCCCCCCGGTCATTAGGCTTTTACATTTTTAGGGGTGAGTTATCATATCATCTTCAAAAGATTGGCTTAAACAGTACGTGAGGTATTATTAGCAAATACCATATACTATTCTTTAATACATGCACATAGACATTTTTGACTTCTCGGTTTAAAGCTACACCGACCCTTTCCTTATTTTCCCAAAATTATTATTTGTTTAACGAAATACTAGTAGTTAATGCTAGAACATAATTTCAGCTTTGAAAGTTTACTGACAAATGAAAACTTAGGAAGACTCTTTGAATATTCAAAGTTTGAAGGATATATGCTGTTCGACAAAGTCAGGATAATTAGCTGTCTTCTAGAATTTGGCATTAACAAAGAACAGTTCTGTTTTCTAGCTGTAGCATTCACACCACCTTGATGCAACATAGTTTGCTATAATTTGTGTAAATTCATTATTTCATGATTTGGTTTATCAAAACATATCATTAAAATGGTAATGTGACCTAGAAAGTATGTTATCATTGTTTACAATATATAATTATTTTTTGAAGTTTTTAGGTATTTTTATTAGTTAATAATAATATACTTTAGATTCAAAATAATAATTAAATTATTATCATTAAAATTTAATTAATTATAATAAAATTTTAATTTCTTTTGTTAATAGATAAAACTGAAAATCTATTAATTTTAAACATAGATAGTAAAAACTAGGCTTAATCTTAAAATTCTTGAAATATATCATTGTAATATAGAAAATTGATTTCTTGTTACAAGGCAAAGTTAGGGATGTAAGAGTTAAATCAATTATTTTATTGGTTTTTCTATTTCGTTATGTCCAGAACACTTATAATTTGAGTAATATGATACTATGATAAAAGAAGCAAAATAAAATGAAAGTTAAATCGATTCTTTGGCATAATGCAAGGGAAATCTTAATCATGAGTTAGTACAGTAAACTTTTCCAGTAAAGTTAACTTATTTAAGCATTTAAATGATTCTTCTTCCAAGATTCGGTTCCATAGTATATTTTTTCCACGTGAACATCTAATCCATATAGTTAAGTCATCAAATTCCATTCCTTTTCATCTTCATAGTGAAACTGTAACGATACATTCTAATATTCTATACTTCTCATCAAACATATACTAGTTTATTGCAAAGATAGGTATACTGCTTCTTCTTTAAAAAAAAAATCATTTAAAAGATCATAGTAGAATGTCTTATATATACATATTGGGTTGTGATTCTTTTTAATACATGGCAGTAGCTCAAGAAATACAGTATTCTGAACTGCATAAAACACCACCAATATTCGTCACCAAACCCCATTCTCACATGGATGAAATATGTGACTATAGGATTATCATTTTTACTAATCTATATGTCGATGTATTTTTTTCTATAAAATTCCGTTTATTTAACAATATCCTCTATGAGTTAAGCTAAATACGGAATATTTTAAATGAAGTTGAAAACGTGTGAAAGTTAAATTCTTCATTGGGAAAAAGCAAACTGATGGCTAAAGTAAGAACACTTTCCAATACCACCAGTCTATAAATTCCCAAGAACCTGTTGATTCACTTTCACTTCTCAAAGCACTAATTAAAAGCCCTCTCTATCTTTACTCTCTTTCTCTCCACAGTAATGCATGCATAACTCTTACAAATATAGAACACATAAATAGAATTTCTGAGGGAATTTGATAGTTTAGAATGGAAAATTCAATGAAGAATAAGAGCTTCAAAGAAAGTGAAGAAGCAGAGCTCAGAAGAGGGCCTTGGACTCTTGAAGAAGACACTCTTCTCACCACTTACATTCTCCATAACGGTGAAGGACGTTGGAATCTCGCTGCCAAATGTGCTGGTAATCAAATAAAACCACAATTTTGAAATTACTATTTGAAATTTACTATATAATCACTTTTTTTTATCTTCTTGAAAAAAATGAAAACAGGGCTGAAGAGAACCGGGAAAAGTTGTAGATTGAGATGGTTGAATTACTTGAAACCTGACATCAGACGTGGGAATCTAACTCCACAAGAACAGCTTTTGATCCTCGAGCTTCACTCTAAATGGGGTAATAGGTGCGTCTCATAATTAAGCCTTGTTTTTTTATATTACCAAAAAGTTCCCAACCATTGAACATAATCTATTAACTTGTGTCATGTTTTTAAGGTGGTCCAAAATTGCACAATACTTACCAGGAAGAACGGACAACGAGATCAAGAACTATTGGAGAACGAGAGTTCAAAAGCAAGCTCGACAGCTCAACATCGAATCTAATAGCGACAAGTTCTTTGACGCTGTTCGTAGTTTCTGGGTCCCTAGATTGATCGAGAAGATGGAGCAGAACTCATCCACTACTTATACTTGTCCCCAAAACAACAACAACAATTACAATAACTCTCTTCTTCCTCCTACTCAATCTTTCGAGTCCATGAGTACACAAACATATACAGATTTCTCGGGTCAGAGCAACACGGATGGTTCTTCTTCGAGCTCTGCTTTCATGCCTGAGCTCATGACAGTTCCACAGTTTACGGATCACAACACTATCATCGATGGTTCGATGTGTTGCCATGAAGGCAATGCTTCTCAAGAGCTCAGCGGATATGTTCCTGGAATGGATGAATACTATTACAATGGAAATTCAGACATATCAACGGAATGCCACGTGGCGGAAGCGTATGAGAATGTCACACAAGATCCCATGTGGAATATGGATGACATTTGGCAGTTTAGGGAGTGATTATTAAGTCAGTCAAGAGATGCTTAGGGTGGGGCCCACACTACCATGGTTTTATTTCGTATACTATAGTAATATATTTTCATTTTAGTTTATGAGACAAAGTTGTTGAATAAAAGATTTATAATGATTGTTTGCTGTGAGTCTTTTAGTTCGTGTCTAATCTGTATAAGCATGTTTGCTAATATAAATGGTAAGCCAATTTGTTCATACTTGTTTCCTCAGTGTACATGCACTAACCAATCATGTCAGGTTTATACATGACTAAGCTAAGCTTGAGGGTAAATAGAACAGAGTAGTCTCTTGTTTTGAATTTTTTTGGACTTGAGTGGATTTTAGTGAAAGGAGAAGATATCTAATCTCACCACAACAGGTGAAAGAAACCAAAAGCTGGGTGTGACTCTATCCAAAAATAAATAAATTTATGGGGCCGGATAGGTGATAATTCAGGGATATAATGATCTGTCTCTTTACCAAAATTAATGTCTTATTTTGGAAGATATATAAGTGCAAAGTTGACGATATTACAGGAGAGTTTGATTGACACATATCGTTTCTGTGGAATCAAAGAAAACAGTAAACCGAAGTACTGATTGTTACATTTATTTTGAAAAACCCTTGTGTGATATACAAGAGATCATTAGCATGATGGTTTTGGATTGCACTCTTTAATTTATAGAGTTAATAAAAAAGTAAATAGAATATTGTTTATATTTTGGCAATGACATGCTTATGTGCAACAGCAATATCAAATATAGGAAGGGATAATAAAGACAAAGGACCCCTTAGTTTTTTATTATTATTATTATCCCAAAAGGGCTTCAAGGAAAATGATAGCGAAAGGTGGCTTTGGAGGTCTTGTTAAAGATATCAAATTATTGGAGGTCACTGCAATAAGTATATGGAAACTCCACAATAATTTGAACCCAAAGGTACCACTAAAAGTTGGAACAAACATTGATGCATTTTTGTGAGGTCAAGAACAAAATATCACACAAATATTTTGTACGCAAATACTTACCTATTTCTTGTAACTATTTGGAATAATATACTGATTCTTTTGCATGTAAATTGAGTTCTTTTTTTTTTGAAAATTATAAATTGAGAATACATAATAAAATAAGTGTTTTATTGTTGTTATTGTCGAATCAAGAAACGTAGATGCTATGCGACGAATATATAAAATTTGATATTATGTCGGCGAATAAAAAAAACTTAGATGCTAGGCGACGAATATAAACTGATACTAACCTCAAGTAGAACTCACTAGAGGTTGTTAAACTTGAGAAAGAGAGAAAAGACATGAGTAACGTGGAGCCAGTATACTGTGTAGGTCAAATGTTCATTAACTAAGGAGATAATGTTTGTATGTTTAGTATGAATGACTAGAGAAGTCAAAGTTCAAGATAACTGTTTGAAGAAAATACACCAACTTAAGAGACCAGATGGTTTGGTTCATGAAACAAGACATATTTACAACAAAGTATGATCATGTCTCAAATCAAACAGTGTTATATTGGCACCAAATCTCACAACCACATGTTGTATGTATAACCCGTATATGACTCCTACTTATGTGTTCATTTTCTTGTTCCGTGTATCCTACTTCACATTCTTCAAAAATCAAATCATCACTTCCATAACTAATATAATTCAAAATCAAATTGAGTCAAACCTAAGACATGAATAGTGAACCAACCTCATATCTAACATATCGACTGTGGATATTGGCACGTGCGTTTGGGAAGATTTACAAGATTCAAATATATAACTAACTCATGAACTGACAATATTATAAAAATGTATGCAATAGTCTAAGAAAGAAAAGGTTATTTCCCAATCAGACCAATATTTTGGGAGATAATCTATTATTTCAGGTTTAGTTATTAATTTGATGTAATCAAATCATGTAAAAAGTTATACTGTCCCATCTCAGATAATCTTAAACGAATATAAGAAAGATAAGTGATATTGATGCCATATGCACTAACACACATGTAGAGCATAGAATCGAGCCTAGTGAAAGAGTACTATAATAATGTGAGCAGTACTATCCATTTATCCTTAACTTCCAAAAGCAAAGAGCACCTTATTCCTTTCTAAATCAGTAATACTTCAGTGTGCTTTTTCTGATTCTCTAAAGCATATTCATATACAAAAAAGAAAAATCCAGATTCGTCGAACCAATTATTAAACTTTTGAGCAATGAAGAAAATATGCGAACACAAAGCATAATAGAAAAAACAAAGAGCTAGAATCTACAACAAATCTCTTTCAAAGTTTTTGAGTCAATCAAAATCAAATGCGTGAAAAGACTAAACTCTCTCTTAGTCTCTCTACCACAAAGCTTTCGGCCACTTTGTAGGAGTAGGACAGTAACTATCAACATCACACTATTGGAGTCACATATAGAGAGAGAGATTTAATGGTTACGATTATAATATGTTGACAACGAGGTTACATCTTTGACTTAAGACTTCTGCGACACTTCAATTCAACATGGTGAAACAAAATCAGAGGCAACAAAAAAGTTGTTGTGTTACGTATGTATCAAGGCAAGAGATTTTGTCATTGTCCTCACTTTTTTTAGCTTTACTGTAGCTGTCTCTCAGTATGACTACCCAGTTGAACATTAGATTTTCCGAGGTTAGTCTTTGTAAGCCTCAATATATATATATAACATGTTTTGTCTTTTTTATATATCCCTTGGAGCATCTGGAACTATCACTTTGGAGTTTGTGTAATGTCATGATAGAGCCAAGATACTTAGTGTAATTAGGGCTGCAAGAACACAAGAAATATATTTGATGAGCATTCCGCATGTAAAACCCACGACTTGTAGGCTTAAACCCAATAAAAATGACTATGTAGAATATTGTGGCCCATGTTGAAATGACCCGATACCGTTTAGGCCGGGGGCATCATCGCCCTGGACCCCAAAAGAATAAGTAAAATAAGTCAGAGTCACTGGTGAACCGAAGCTGCTAGTCACAGAAATGAATGAACCTTCTGGTAATGGCGTTTGTAACAATTTATCAGCCGCTTTATTCCAATATATCACCACCATCAGAACTCATAAAAAGTTGTACGTGTAGCATTCATGTTCTTATGCAACCACCTCTATGTTTCTTGAAAACCAGTGACATCAAAATAAAGATATTCAATTCAAAGCTCATAACTGTATCGAGATGATTTCTTACCACATGCTTCTTCACATTCATGATCAGTTTGAAGTCTTGAGAACCTGCACTCTTGTGAACCAACATTCTTAGAGGAAGAGTGTGTGCAGAAGCGAGCTCGGTTTACCTTTTTCTTGGTTTAAATCTTCGGTTTTCACATCTAAATGTTGGTTTTCTTTCTAATTGGGGTAACTATTTTTCTGTTTTAGCTAAAAACGGGGAAACCATTTTTCGGTTTTAAACACAAACGCTCTACCATGATTATTACCATCCGAACCAATATCAATTTAAAATCAAAAAGCAAGATCGAGGATGCATGCATGCATGGTTTTCTAGATCTTGTACGGTGTCCTTAAATCTTTATGTTAGAGATCCGATCAAACCCCGTAACACATGCTCCATTGTCGCATTTGTATAATTAAAATCTAACGATTAGAATATTGTCTAGTGATGTGTGTGATCTATGCTGATTAGAGCTAGTGACTTCAGTAATTTAGAGAAACAAACATCTCCTGCCTCTTCATTTATCATTGATGATGGTGTGTCCTGCAACAAGTATTAATTTACACTTGGATGCTATTATTGATCCAACCATTGATCTAGATATTAGTACGTTGCGTATTTTTATACCAAAATTTAAATCTTAAACCATGTATAATAATATAAGATTTCAGACAGAGTTCGCCCTAATAAACCTCTCAGGCACAATTATCGAGAAACTCTTTTGGCCACCATTTCACGGCGCCGGTGGCGCCTCCGTTCGCCGGCGTCGCCTCTGTTTCTTTTCTCTTCTGCTTCTCTTCACTCTGGTCTCAGTCTACTTTAGTTATTTTAGAGTGTTTGTGTTATATTTTCTGTGTTTGGTTCCTTCCCCACCTGAGATGACTCGTGTGGTCTTCTCTGGCGGTTTGGATACCACCGGAATTATTTGTTTCTCCGGGGATTCCCGATCTACATCTCGTCCAAGCGTTTCCTCCCCTCGCTGCAGGCTCTACACTGGCTCCTTGCTTGTCTCGTACAGATCTGTGAGCCTTGTCTCCATCAACGTAACTCAGAGACTCTCAACCGAAGACTTTCGTCGGATCTCTTCCTCCCTTCCACCGCAAGTCCTCCTTCCGCATTTAGCTACCGATGTCCGAACGTCTACTGTCCGTGGGGCTCCACACTTGACCCGCCGTTCAGATCTGGAAGCATCTTGGTTTTTATGGACAAGCTCACCTCGATTTACAACCACCACCTCCATCCCGACAAGGTCCTGTTTTGAAATACTCTACTGTAGATACGGTGAGGTCCGACGCGCTGACGACCTTTCTGCTCCATCTCCGATAGATGGTGTTGTGAGTCTTGTCGACTCCGGGGAGAATACCTTAGCATTATCTGAGGCGCCGCGCTTCATAACCGGCCACTGCCCCTTCAACTCCGGCAAGAACTCTAAGCTTTCAAGTCTCCCGATCAAGCCGTCGTTCAGTTCAAATCCGAGAATGTTAATCTTATGGGCCTGGCCCTGTAAGATCTGTGAATCTGTTATTCATCTTGTTGGCCCAGCAAATCTTAAACCCATGTTTGATGATTTGTTCAGTGTGGCAAAGATGCAAAGGATTTCCGGTGGGTTCACCGGGGCCTTTCTCGTACGCTTAGTGCCATATCTTTCTTTTATGAAGAATAGTTTACTGGTGGGTTCACCAGGCTGGTCTCTATCATCACCTTACCTCCTTTCTATGAAAGGAGACGAATTTCTGAACTTGTTGTCGAGTTCTGGTTTCAGCTTCCTCGTCTATGAGAGCTGGTCTTCAACGTCACTATATGTGACTATTTCTGTGCTGCCCGACTCTGTCGTGAAAGCTATTTCCACGCATTTAAGCTCAGTCTTGAATCCGCTGTCAACTTCATATGAAGAATTATCCTATTTAGTTTACATTGTTGTAGCTTATCTTTTCAATCAAAGAGGATGGTTAATTCCCTCTAATCGTTGTAATCAATCAGTTGAGAACTAATGAAAGTAACTTGTGTTTCAAAAAAAAAAAAACCATGTATAATATATTTAAAATGTTTCAGATCACTAAGCGAATTTGTAGCTGCAAATGCAATGTTTCAAACCACAAAACATGCATTGCTGATTAAGTTCTATTTTTTTGTATGCGGTGAAAATTAATTTTCTAAGTTGATATTAATACTTCCTTTGACATATATCTATGCAACAAATAAAACTATCTGTGACATGTATAGGTGATATGGCAATGATCAAGTACAATGTATCGTTAAATGATTCCCTCGGCCATTAATAATTGTGGTACTACTTGAATTCAAATACAGACACTATGATCAGATGTCATTTCCAACGAAAAAGGTAATGTATGAACAGAAGGAATCACTTAGTGATATATTATTACTTTTCTCGAAATTATAACAAGAAGTTAACACTACTTAACAGACAAACAAAAATTGAAATAGAAAATTAACACTCATTTTTACTGTATAGTTTTGCAATTCGAGAACCTCAAAGTGATATATCGACGTTAAGTGTGGGACACATTTTTTTATTTTTAAAACGTAAAATCATATACATACTTTTCTCATTGTTCAAATTAACTGCACAGCTACGATTATTACTAAAGCGGGATAGATTTGTCTCATCATTAACAGTTTGATTGAACATATCATTTGTTTTATATGCCTCATGCCCACCACATCAACAATAATTTATGTCGCACATAACTGCACACAGCTACGATTTAAGCATCTTCTACGAACGTGGACAAATATAATGGGTCTCTTTTTATATTGAGTTAAGCTAATAGATCAAAATCTCGACATTGCTTTTTTATTTACTTATACCTTCCTCCTTTATCTTTCCTTTAGCTGGTTTTCTTCTGTTTCTTTTTGTTTTATTGTGAGAAACAAATAGGGTAAACAACACCTGATTAATCCTTCCATCACCTATTTTCTCCTCATATTATTCTTCTCTTCTTAAGACAATATCTACATAAGAAAAGTTGAAGCTGCCATTTTTGACTTGAAACTTCATAATTATCTTCTTCTATATCTTGACTTCAAAATCTTATTCATTCTGCATTCTTTAAAGCTTTTCCCGGGCATTGGCTCTTGTATGATACCATAACAAGGCAGATTTAAATAAGATAGAGAGAAAGAGAGAGTAGGGAAGTTATGGCTATTGAAGTTTGCTGTTCAGAGGCTCCTGGTTCTGGCATCAGCCCAAGAAACTCTTTCTCCTATGATCTTGACTCAACGGACGGTGAAGTTAGACTAGACTCGACACTTCTTGATCCAAGTTCGGAGTTCGATTTCTGCTTTGGCTCAACTTGTCCTGTTCAAGAAGTATCACCAGCTGATGAACTCTTCTCTGATGGCAAGATTCTTCCCGTCCAGATCAAGAAAGTAACCTTTGGAGTTCAAAGATCAGCTTCACTCTCATCATCATCATCTTCTTCCTCTTCCTCTTCCTCTTCATCAGAAAAGAAGATCATGAGACTAAAAGAGCATCTGTTGAGTCCTGAATCTGATTATGAAGACAAGCCTAAGGGATTGTTCTTACAGTTCAAGAGAAGCATAAGTCTCAACTACGATAAGAGCCGTAACAGCAAAGGACTAATCAGTTCGCTTCATTTCATCTCACGAAGCAACTCCACAGGCTCTGCTCTAAACCCTAAACCTAACTTCCCACCCAAGGAAACTTATCATCCTCACAAGACTCCCAATCTTCCTAAACAATCATCTCTTAGAAGATTGTCTTCTCTCTCAGCTTCAGGCCCTTACAAGAAACCACTAGCTAGAAACAGTTTCGGTAACGGAAACGGTGGAGTTAGAGTTAGTCCGGTCTTAAATTTTCCACCGCCGGGGTTCATCTCGAACGTTGCCGACGGATTTTTAAGCATTGGATCACTATGTAATGGTGGTGGTAAGACGAGCAGGAAGACAAGATTATGAAAACATCTTTTGTCTGTTGTGGCCGGGGAGGAGAGAAAAACTTACGGAAAATGTATTTCTACATTTTTTTACTGATTGTTGTATAATAAGTTAATAAGGGAATAAACGACAGAACATGTGAAGATTAGACAGCATGTGAGTTTTGTCTGTATTTTTAAAAAGAGTAAACCGAAAAACAGGAATAATCGACGAACTAGGCGTAGCATAAGAATAGGAACGCTTCGTTTGATTATAAAAAAGTATTATTAGTAACGTGTAATTAAATTTATCAAAGAGGATTATATGTAAGCAAAAATGGATCTCACAAAGATGATCACTCCTCATTTACTCAGCCGATGGGCTCTTAACTGACGCAAAAGCCATACACCAAACAGCCCAACAAAATCATTCCAGTTATTGTATCTTTCTACTCTCTAGAGTAGTTTTTAAAAAAGTTTACTATAATGTAATTTTTTTCTCTTCTGTTTTTAATTGAAACTAAATTTTCACATGCGCCATGTGTGAAAGTTTTCTTTTTATTTCAGATAATTAGAAGATGAATAATATATTTAAGATGTGTTTTTTATTTTTTATTGTATTTAGAAAATTTTAGTTGAAAATTGTATGAATATAAGTTGAATCAATATTTGTGGGATGTTAGATATTTGTTTAATAGAAGAACCCACAAAACTACAAATGTAATAACATAAAAATCATAAACTATAACATGATCCATCATATAATTAAATAATAGTATAATATAAACTTTTCTTTTTTTTTTTGTTTAAAATATTAACTAACGGTTCGGTTTGAAATACAACAATGGCAAATCCAACAAAAAATGAAGCAGAGAAACATCAAACCTTTTTCAAATAAAGTTGATGATACCATTTGGTTAACTGGATTGAACCCGACCGGAACATAGTAAACCGATAGAGAGCGAGTCAGGCTCAGGGAAACAATCAAAACGCGGGAAAACGAAAAGGCCCCCACACGGAACAAACGAGTCCACTTTTCGTATAGCACACACTCCTTGAATCATTGACCGTGTACACGTCTTTGAGCAAAGATAATGACCCAGCTTCTAATAGACAATGCAGTTGAAAGAATCACAACGGCCAAAACACACACACACACATAAGTTTTCTCTCTCGCGCAACTCATTTTGTGTGCGAAAATGGAATCACGGTAGTAACAAAGTGATCATGAATTATATAGGCAATCACGGTTGGATTTGGATAGTCAGAAAAACTAAAGGGAACGCATCAATCAATAAGCAGAAAGACAAAGGAATAGTCTTATCCTATTGAGGTTAGATAGTCACAAAAAGGCAAGATTTGGTGAAATGTTCATCCTTTTATTGATTCTTATTATTATTGGCTGTTCTTAGCTGATTGATTAATTGGACGAGAAGAGTATGTTGTGATTACATAAGAACCTACTCAACTTCACCCATATCTGCTTTGTACATGTTATTTAGCCAAAACCAAAACTAATAGCTGAAGAAACAAAACTGAGAAACTCAAAGCATCTTCTGATCTAATCACACTCCCAACTTCAATACATTCCACAAGTCAGCAAAATAAAGACTTTCATCCATCATCATCATCATCATCATCATCATCATTTCTGCAGGATTATTACAGTAAATATTAGCAAACAGTTAAAATATGAAATCAAAAGCTTGTGAAGAGATGATACCTTTCCATTATCGGCTGCGTCTGGTACATCGTAGATATCTTCCGTAACTTCACCAAAATAAAAAGCTGGATACAACGACTACACAAGAAACAAACAAGAACAACAATAAATCAGAATTCAAAAAAAAAAAACTAAGCATTAAAAGAAAGAAAAGCAAAATTAAAACTGTGACTTTTGGGCTTACATTGATCTGTCTCTGAACGTTTCTGTGACGTTTCTTGGGCCGTCGCGGCGGCCGGTGGCCCACCATCATCACATAATCATCTTCCACCTCTTTCGTCAACAGCGTCGACACAAACTTGTCCCTCCTCACTCCATTCTCCCCCTCACCAATCCTCAACCCTCCCTCCTTCTTCTGATTCCCGCCGCAATCTGTAACCGGAGCCTTGCACGCCGCTCTCCTCTTCCTCAAATTCCACGGCGGAGAAACCTCCCTCTCTTCTTTCTTGCTCCTCTTCTCCTCCTCGATCCCTTCCTCTCCGCCGTCGTTCTCCGTCTCCAATCCTCGACTCCGATTGGGAGGCGAGGATCGCCGTCGGAGTCTTTGATCGACGGCCACGACGGAGCCGCCGTTGGATTCGATCTTCGTGCACCTTAGATTACGCTGAACGCCCCACTTCAAGTCCGTGAACGAGAAATTGTGGAGAGTTTGTTTCTTCTTCTTCGGTCTGTTGTCGTGTCCCGTCGTCGTCGTGTAGTCTTCTTCTTCTTCCTCGCCGGGAAACACCATTGCTTCGCCGCAGTTTTTTTTTATCTTACAAACCGCCGCCGAAAACTTAAAACTTAGGAGATGAATTTTTCGATTTCTCTCTCTCTTTTTCTTTCGATTGCTTTCGATTTTGGTTTTGGATTGTGCGAAGAAGAGAAGGGAAAAGAGTTTCCTTATATATATGACAGTGTTCATGTGTTTTGGTTCGAGGGTAGTTTCGGAAAATGATTTTAGATTTTTGCTAAAATGCACCGTGAGTTTCTGGCGCATTTGGTTTTGGATTTTTTTATTTGCTATCAAGCTTTTGATGGTTGGGCCTCTAGTTTGGGCCTTACCGCTCCCAGTTTATTGTGGGCTTACACTAGAAATGTTTCATCTTTGATATATAGACGCAAAATGGTGAATCTTTGATATCAAAACTGTTTTTAGTTTGTTATGTCTTTTGTTGTTGAAATTTTCTTTATTAGTTGATTATAAGTACAAAACATTTGTTTTAGGGATGATTAGACGTAGATCAACATCAAACTTAACTAGGTATAACATGGTAACTAAGTTGCTTTGGTCTATTGGTAAAGGAGCTCTAAATGGAGTGCCCGTCCCTATGTTCGAGATTTGACCACTGCGGAATATACATATGGGCTGCATTATCCGAGATCGAAGACCGTAATAGGTGAGCCATATAGTACGTCTTGACAGTGTCCTTGCTCGCTTTTGGTTTCTAGTCTAGACCACTTCGGTGGGGTCGAAATACTCGGTTAACAAAGACTAAGAAAAAAAAAAGGTAATTAACAAGTCGATTTTATTTAGTTGAGGCCCGACTTAAAGTTTACATTCAGAACCCAAAAGAATATAAGCTTTATTGACATTAAAATGGTAATTGAATACCAGCCGCTTAAAACTACCGAATTTCGCCTAAGATTTCAAGTTACCTCTCGCCACTAGACCAGTGGCGTTTTCTTGGACCACTTAATTCTGGTTAATCACAAAAATCGCATGATTTCATGGCTTACAAAACCCACGATATATTAGAACACTCTCAAGTCTCAATCAATGGTTTTACATAGTCTCTTAACATATAACAAACAAATCATAATAGTGTTTTTATTTTATAAATTTTAAACTTATTCTGTTTATTTTTCATATTTGACTTACTCAAATAGTATTATATTCTTATTTTGTTTATTACTTATTAAAAACTCTATAGAAAACTTGCATAGAGGTTGCTAGTACTTGACATATGATCGCCTAACATGTGTTTATAAAACTATCAAGCAGTAGCGGCCCTGGGTAGAAGCATTACAAGCATCTGCTTCCGGCCCTTAAAATAAAATAAAGTTTTCGGCTTTTTTTCCCAAACGTTTTTATAGCTCAGATGGTTAAATAGTAGGTGTTTCTTCTATAGGTAGCAAGTTCAAATCCCACCTGGTGGCCTTTTTTTGTGGGAAGCTTCCGGTCTTTGTTTTTTTTTAGCTTTTCAGGGCCGGGCCTGCTATCAAGTAGTAACAATAGTTAAAAAAATGTTAAAAAAATAGAAATAAATGTTCATCACATCTTTTTCAATTATCTCCAAAAATGTTTTTGGTCAGATCTTCATCAATTACCCTTTTTTTTTTTTTACATTTACCTTAAGTTTACCAATGTTTATAAGGGATAACTCCATCAACCCGATTTTACCATGGTTCATGTTTGGTTATTAAAAAAGACAATCCAAACAAACTAAAACCTGAATTAACAGAACCAAACTTGAACTGATAATCGATTGCCCATGCCTAATTTTTCTTTTTATGTTTGACATTATTTTTGTATGATCAATTTTCTCTGCATCATATTTGAGTTGTGGAGAATCATTTTATGTTTCATTTGGGTATTTAGTTATCTCCGTTTAAGTTAGGTCTGGTATTTGGGTCCTCGATTTGTGTTTATGTCAGTTTTTGTCGTGTCCGGATTCTTTGGGTCTAACAAATTTAGATTCAATAGGTACTTTTAGGTTTTTCGGCTCAGGTCCGAATCGGTACTTGTCGAATTCTTTCGGATGCAATTTTGAAAACTTGTTATAAACCTGTAATTTTTTGGTACATTTCAAGTTTGGGTCGGTTCGGGTATATTGGACCTGAACTGGATCCAAAGTACTTAAACTGGATTCGAAAAATCAATAAACACCAAAAAAATAGAAAAATATAGGAAAGTATTTGAATACATGATAATATTTGAAATTTTATCCGGAATTTGACTCCAAGACCCAAATAATACCAGGAACTTTACTAGAAGACCTGAATTATGTTTTCCAAAATCTTAAATTTTACTTGAAACCTGAAAATATATTTCATTATCCAAACACAAAATTAAAAAAATATTCATAATACCAAAAATAAACCAAAATACCTATATATATACAATATTTGTTTTTGAAATTTCGTGTATTCGATCGAGTCTCGGATAATATTCGGACCCGAACATGTACCCCGCGGATTCTTGAAAAAATTTCCATCAAATTAATTTGTGTTCACTCGGATTGGTTTCAGGTCGGATTTATGGATCAATGCTTAGTTTAAGTTTGCAAATTGGTTAGGTGGTTGTCACATCATATTTTTCAAGAATATAATATTGGGTATGATGGGGGCCCTATGGACTCCTTTATGGGTCTAATAAGCCTATTTAGTCTTAGCCATTTTATTGGGCCTTCCAAATGTTACATCTTCGCGGGAGTCCACATAGTATATTGTTAGAGGCTACGCAACATGTATACATGGCTACATGCAGCAGTTGATGGTGGAAGAAAATAAAGGAAGAGGTGATAAAGCAAACGAATAAGAGATCGACAAGAGTCAGACTCAGAAATCTTTGCTAACCACTTTAATTTGCGTCGTGATGTGTTCTGAAACTGGTAGTGGTAGCCTGGTAGGACAGTCTTGTACGCTAGTCCACTTTAAGTGTGTTCATAATTAATCATATACTACATGATGTTTTAATGTATTGAATACGTACATGCACTTTTGTTTTTAGTTATTTTGAGTCCTCAGATCTCTTCCGTTGCAAAAAGATGTCATTTTGTGTGAACCAACACGAGTTAACAAATGAACTAAAACGAACACATATTTACACCCCATGTGAGTTAAAGTCATAGAGATTCTTCTTGGATCGTGCCTAATTACATTCTTTTGTCGAAACCTAAATACATTAATCAATGTTTTTAAACTCGATCTGAAAAAAAGAGCGTTCTTTGGGACAACTAGCCTTGGTCACCGGATCAACTTATCCAATAACGGATTAATGAATTATTTTTTTCATTAAAGAAATGTTATCCAGCCTTAGTGGTTTGATCATTCACCGGATAAATACGTTTATAACGTTTTAGAACGTATGGAAAGATCATTTGGTTTATATCAAATTCAGAGTAAATATTAATTTATCTTCCTCATAGTTAATCATATTTTCTTTAAGTAACGAGAATCTTAAATAAAAACGGGAAAAAGGCTTATTCCGACAAGATCTAGTACTTTATTCTTATCCTACACTAATGAATTCCTCTATCGACATCATAATTGCAAAAGGTTTAGTAAGAAAAGAACTTTCTTCGGATATACATGTACTGGCAACCAACGAGACTTCGACAAACGCACACAGCATCTTTATTCTCTTTCCATATTTCACGTCCAACGAAAGCCAAACCCTAGGGATTGTTCTTCTTTCGCATGTCTTATCACTTTCCACGCAACATGATTCTTAGTGCTTGTCTTTAACCTACGTACCAAAACCTCTAATGTACTTTGACATTACCTTATCTCCACATTAGAGGTTAATTTCTGCTGACTTTGCTGTTATAAATCTAATGCATGGATAACGTATGTAAATGAATACAAATTGTATCAGCAATGGAGCTGAAAAGGGTTAAACGTATCAGATTTAGATATTTGCACTATATGTTGAAGTAAATAACCATAAATATGTCTTCTTGTGAACCCACAATTATTCGTCGTGTCTAAGAGGAGGGAAAGGAAACAAACATATGTTAAGGACCCCCACACAAACGACCTGACACTCCACCATCAACCAAATTGTTTCTATAGGATATGCATATAATTGTTATCAGTCGACTACTATTACTGGTTTTTATTTTTAGGTTGCACTTATTCAAGTTTATATGTTTAAGTATTATGTTAAATCTTTGAAAGAGGACATACATTTATAGTGTGCTTTTTTGCATCAGACATAAAAAAAAATATATTTGCAGATGCTATGGTTTTGTAAACGATATATATGTATATAAATATATATATATGTATATGCATGCTTTTGACTTTTTCAGTTACTTTTAAAATATGCGTTACTTTTAAAATATGCATGATAAACATATATTGCAGTATGCTAACAAACATATTAATTATAGTAAACGCAGTACTTCGACATACAACCAGACCCCAAGTGTTATGACCACTATAGCAAACGCTCAGAGCCGGCCTAGAAGACAAGTCATCCAATCGACTGGTTAGGACATACAAAACTAAAGGACATATTTTTATTTAATTTTTATAGTAACATTTTTTATTAGATAGTATTTATATGTAAATATAATTTGTTTTTATGATAATAAATTTTTGTAAGAAAATTTTTACTCTAGTTTATAGAACTGTTACTATATTGAATAAGTTTATTGTTGAATAATAATAATTTTAATATGATTTTTTTTATTAACAGTGAAATGATTATAAAGCCCTTTGTCAAAAAAAAACAGTGAAATGTTTATAATAACATTGACTAATATTAATGTGTAGAAAATAGTGTTTCCCAATCATGAATAGGCTGAATTACTTTATAAAGTTTTAATGTGATTTATATCATATAATAATTTTACATAAAGCATAAAAAGATATGTTGTTGTATTAGATAAATCTGTTTATGGTTTACTCGGTTTGGATGAGTCGGGTTGTGATTTTTTTTCACAGTATATAATATATATAAAAATTAATTTTTTTGGTGTAGGACATCCAGAAATATTGGACTGGTACTGTGAACGCGTGTATGTCTAATATTTCACACATGTTACTCGAGATTTTGGTATTGCTATGTCTAAAATCTGGACTACAGTCCTAACTGTAAAACAAAAGTATATATGAATCATTGTCTTCTTTTACTTTAGTTTTTGTGTACAGTGGGGGATGGGGATGTCTATATGAATGCGTTGTTTCTTCAATAATTTGGTTTGATATCGTACGGATATAAGAGTATATTGCAATATATAATGCGTAGTGGTCAGAGTGGTAAAGCAAAAGCAAAAATTAGACGCATCCTCAAGAGTTATAATTAACTTCTTTTTTTCTGACAACTAGTTATAACCTAGTGCGTGTCTTTTCGATTAGGGTATATACATTGCATGATTGATGGTGTGGTAGGTACTTTGATGATTCCTTAAAGAGGACACATGATGCAGCAAAAGAACACGTTTAACTCTGAACAAAAGTTTCCCCTCCAAAAGGGTACCTTTTACAGATATGCACATGTATGTAGTTTGCCAGACCAACACCAAGGAAGTGGGTTTCTACTCCCTTGAGTTATATACGTATGATAGATTCATTAACATCAGTTCTTTTTGTATTCATTGACACCGAATACTTTGGGGTCTGTACTCATTTTTACATGATAATAACCTAGACGCATTGGATTAGCGGACTCAGTGAAAGCTGGGTGGACCACGTAGCACCTTGAAAGCTAACCAAAAGCTTTTGCGATTATATTTTATTCTCGAAATATTGTGGGATTTTTTTTTGGGAAGATGCAAAATTACCTTTTTATTAGGAAATTAGAAGATTGTGTTCCCTCACGAAAAAGAGCAAAACAACAACCAAAAAAAAATTTATCAAAAAAAAAAAATCAAAACAACAAGAAAAAGTTCCATACCACATGTTTTGTGATAGACAGAGAGGTTCCATCGCAATTAAACGCCAATTTCCTTAAGTGGTAGAAAAGTAGGTATCTACGTTCGTGGAGTGCTCTGATACCAAACTTAAAATGATCCATCAAGTCCTCTAATTCTCCAACCAATCAATGTTCAAAAGTACTTCCTAAACTTTTGTTTAAGCTTGAGCACAATAATCTCAAATCTCACTGCCCACCTGCCCCAACTCCCATAACTCATAAACATATAAATAAAACAATATAATATAGAAGTGGCTATTGCTTTATTAAAATTTATTTTCTTTTTGTTCAACCACATTATTAAAATTTCTCAAATAAGATATATGGTGTCTTGTATATAAATTATTGGGGCCATAGTGAGTAGGATCCCCTTGCATGTTTAAACATGAAATGCGCTGGCCTACCTCCCTAGTCCCCTACATATTAAAATGTCATATAGTAGATTATAATAATTTTATCATCTTAAATTCCGGTATCCAGGACTCTCAACCTAAGCTTGTGTGACATGTAATATTTTCAAAATGTTACGGCATACCTTTTGTGATAAAAAATGTTATTTTCTTGGTAATACACATCTTCATTCATATATGAATGAAATTATACTCTTCCTGTTAAATGCCAGCTTAGCGTAAGATTCCTCCACTATATAAGTGCTTCATTTTTACCACAGCCTTCAATTTATGACATATAGTAGCTTTACAATATTTACTATCGCACAAACGTATCATCATCACCTCTAGTCACACAGCCATATGATCTCTACATTATAAAATTTCCAACCAAACTGTGTTAGATTAGTGGGTAATATAGACTACAATAGGCCGGACTGCTAGGAATTGTCATTTTGTACTTTCATTGTTGTTAAACAGAAGTCTATGAAAACTTTTGAAATCTAAATTAATAAATTAGCTTTCTAAACTTCGATTCCAAATTGATCTACTAATGTGGGCGTTGATAAAAAACTTTGATGCTAAATGAATATCATAGATGTGGCAACTATAATATAAAGACACCAATTATAATCTGGTTGATAAATACAGAATATAAAATAGATTATGCATCGACTTCAGAATCAGCTTCGCAGCCGTACACCAATTTCAAATGCCAACCAAAAAGGGTGTGTCCTTTTGGCTACATTAGCATAATAGCATTGCAGCAAACTTGTAAAATTTTCACTTAAAGAGTTTCTTACCCACCTTTGTATTTTGCCTATAGGGAATTAATTGGTTGGATCTCGGCTCGTCAGATATCTTTGATTATCAAATTAAATTTTTCAATCTAAAGATCCCATGATAGTGAAATTCTATATGTTTATAGTTTTGTAAGTTTCTACTATATTATATAAAATCGTTCTTTCCGGTTTAACTATCTACAATGCTTTAGTAGGAAAATAAATTATAACATGCCATGATTTTATAACTAGTTTTAAAAATAATTCACATTTTGCGAGATTCTTTTTCTACAATATTATATCTAGCTACCATCATGAAGCATATAATCATATCCTTTTTCTAGTATAATTTTTAATTAAATATTAAATTGGCATTTCTTTTAACTTCAGTTAGATCGAAGAATCCTTGTCTATTGCCGTATACCTGACAACTTTTGTCTTATTGTTTATCTATACTTTTGCACGTCTTCGGTCTTATTGTTTATTTCTAGTCTCAACAATATAAATTACAAATAACCTTTGTAAAAATTTTCTTCACAAATTGGTTAAGCATTTTGAGACGTACTTCATTTGGGTAGGAAACATATAGATTAGGGTAGGAAATAAACACGTTTTTAGACGTACAGTTAAACAGAAATTATAATGACTAAATAAATAAAATAAACTCAAAATGTAGGAAAATATACACGAGCTATACTTGCAGGTAGGTAGGGGGGCATATGATGGATTTAAACTAAACGTTAATGACCAGCTGGGGCAAGACTCAGATGCAAATCCAACCCTAATCCATCATCAAAAGTGGATCCCACTTCTCTTGAAAACCCATTCACCGATGGTCTCGGTCCATGTGCCTGAACGTGTTTCATGTCATGAGAATCATACAAGAACCCATTTGTACCTGCTCCCACACCCGAAGCATCTTGAATCACGCAGCCATGCGACACGTGAAGCTGAGACTGAGAGGGAGACGCACGTGGAAGATACATCCAAGAACCTCCTCCCCCGGGGGGAGAAACGGCGGGTGAGAGGAGATGAGGCCGAGGAGTAAAGGCGGAGACCATTGGGTTCCGTAAATATGGAGACGCTGATGCAGCGTTAGAGAAATTAGCGGCACGTGTAGCTTGAAGCTGAGAGCGTTTGAGTTGCTGACGCTCTTTCTTGTGAGCGTTTTGGTGACCGCCCAAAGCTTGAGAGTTACCAAACTCCCTGCAGCAGTATTGACACTCGTACTTACGTTCTCCTCCTCGGATTCTTACACCACCACCACTTCTTCCGGAGGAACCCGCCGGAAACTCGTTATGCTCTGATGATTGGTTAGGTTTCACCGATTGTTCAGAGAAATCTTCTTCTCCATCGACGCTGAATCCAAAAAGTCTAAGACGAGAAGTAGAAGTCTTTGAACGAAAATCAAGCTCCTCCATTAAATATGTAAAATATGTTTTTAGAGAGATGGGTGTTTAGAGGTGGACGCATACCTATATATATAAGAAATGTCGAATAAACTGAGATGTGGACTTTGTACAGTAACATGGGAGACACTGTGCAAGTGTGTGTGAAAGATATGAATATCTTTTTACTTTAGTATAATTATTTTTTTAATGCTTTGGTTATCGAACATCCCAAGAAGTTAAAAGAACAGTGAAAGTGGGAGTTTAGAGGACACACGAACCAAGACGACATGGATTATGGGACCCACTTGGATTTCATTTGTCCACTTTTTATATTTCAGTTTTAGGAAATTTGGGTTCGGCTAGACTTTTATGTATGTTATTTCTACGTGTTCTCTTCGAGTAAAATCATATGTTTTCACCTACTTTTTATGTGATTCTAATTGATAGATCTCAGTTTGTTTTCTTTCCATCAAATCTTTTACTTTGGTTCAGGTTTTCTCAAATTTACAACCACCTAACAAAGTATCTTCCACATGCTTCCAGATAACATCTCTACAGTATTTTCAATTTTATCTGGAATGCAAATATATTAATCTGCTATTTGTTTTATTCTAAAATAATTTGATTAAAGTGTTAATTTGGTGGTGGAAATTTTATGTTAGTTTGACAATAAAATTTTGATTTTTTCTTCGATTGTAATTTCTTTTGTTAGATTGCTCTCATATTTATCAGAGATTAATGTAAGCAACTTATGATGGTTTTAGTTGATTTTTATTCCTTACATTTTTTCTGTTATATTTGATGTTTTTATAATTCTTATACGAATTATATTTCATTATTATGAATATTTACATTTCATATACTATATTTATTTTGAAATAGTTAGGATATTCACATTTCATATACTATATTTATTTTGAAATACTTATATGAAATATAAATTTTACCAATTTAAAAAATAAATATGATTTTTTCTTGCTTTTTAGTAGTCTCTTAAATTAATTTATTTATATAATTCATCTCTCAAGAAAAGTATATGAGAAAGAAAATTAATCACGAAATGATGATTTAGTGATAGGTGAACTTTAAGATTATCCTATGGCTAATCAAATATAACTCTATTTTACGGTTCATTTGCACACACCAGATGAAAGTATATTTGTAAATGGCACCACCCTCTTTATATATTAGTCTTATGCCCAAAATTAAAAAAAAAGAGAGAAGAGAATCTATGCCAAGATGTGAAGACTAAAAGGAACAAATGCGGCCCTCATCTCACTTCTGCGTGGCCCACGTGTCCGCGCTGCATTATCGTGCGTATACATACATATTCAGATACGATCTTAAAGTTCTGTTTTTAACGATACGATCTTAAAGTTAATCAAAGTCAAATAACTTACATTTTGTGGAATATATTACTGTTATTTTCTTACATATAGACAAGTGATGCGATCTTTAATTATGACTATATAGAAAAATGGTTACATGTAGCATACTTTAAAGTTCTAAATAATCAGCCTAATCGTATCAACATTTTTATAAGCTGACCGCTTAACCTCTTTTTATTAAGTTATTTACACAAATTCACTTCCAATACCAAGTATTTTGAGTTGAACATGCATCATAGTTTTGAATCTTTTGATATCTAAATTTGAAAGAAAGTCCAATTTGATCGCAAAATGAATAAAATGGCCTTGGGGGAGAAAGAAAGTATATCTGAAGACAAAGCTAAGTAATGTGAACACTAACTCGGTCAATCAAAAGTTGGGGTTGTTAAGGGGCAAAAGAGAAACGACCAAAATAAAGTTTCAGATGTTAACATGTTCCCCACAAATTACGTGCCAAATGACGGATCCTAGTACGTTTGCGTGATTAACGTTAGGATTCACACACACCTACACACACTTTTCAATTGAATACTCATACTTATAATACATATTTACCTATAAAGGGAGGGTCACAGATCTGCGAATCTTACTAACTCAATCAAAAGCTAAATGGGTGGTTTCAGATTTGATTAATGCTTTTCTTTGTATAAAAGTAATAATTGTGTAAACCCTCACAAACTAAAGTCTTTATTAGGGGCTGGAGAAATATCCCATCTTGTCTCCTTGTTAATTATATATTTCCACACGGATCTGCATTATTCGTTGCGTTGGTTTCTTCCAAACATCTTCTACTCTCTTCTCACACCAAAGATCACTAACAAATAAAACCCTACTCGAATTCATATGGTCACATGACATGATATTATAAAATTTAATTCAAAACGTGTATTGAAGATGCTTTGATTCACTTTTGGAATTCAATGGAGATCTCTGTTTGATGATGAACACATGATCAGAGAATTCGGCACAGCTGACTTAATTTACAGAGTTCGATTTGTTTTGCTTAAATATTTATTATATGCTGTCATCCTTTCATAGTTTGAATATGACATCGTATTATCGAAAACTTTGGGAAAGAATATCCGAGTGATATTTTTTCTACAATCAGTAAGCGTTTCCATTTGTAGTGTTTAGTTAAAACGCATAGATAATCATCGCACAGCAGATCGATTAGTATTACATACCAAATTTTGTAAATTAGACTAATTTCTTGAGAATTTTAAGATTGAAAAACTAAGAGATATTTTAGATAAAGATGAGAGTTGATCCCTAAGAATCCTTAACTATACGCTCCTCGATATGCAGTATGTTTTTCTTTGTCAGCATCCGATAAAAGTATATGCAATATACATGTCATGTGGACCTACAATTATTAATGCGCACAATAATTCTAAGTTTGTCACTGGTTTGTTTGTTTTTGTGATAATCATGTTATACATCAAATATTTCCTATTGGAGCTAAAAGCAAAATGATTTCCAAATTACAATACGTAATTAACTTTCAGTTTTTCTTTCCCCGTTTAAAAATAGTGAAAGAGAGGTTCAAACATATATTAGGACAAAATAATACTTTTTTAAAAATAAAATTTTATTGCGACCGAAGGGTTAGCACTTAGAGAAGCTATATGAATATGTAAGGACCAGAATATCATGCGTCTTTGCTGTGAATCAGACTCGCTTCAGCTCGTCAATGCACTCGAGAATGGATCTCAGATAGCTGAACTCTATGCAATTTCAGCTGATATTTTTATGTTTGACCAAACCTTTTGAGTTTATCTCTTTTTATTGGATCAACATGGCAATGATAGGGAGGTGGACGCCTTGGCTAAGCAAGCACTGTTATCTGAATCTCTTGGATCTCTCCCTTTGAACTCATGAGGTTAATTTGAATGAATGCAAGTATGTGTTACAAAAAAAAAAGTAAAATAAAAATTTCTGAGCGTTATTTTTAATTTTGGATGAGATTATGGTAAGACCAAAAACTTTAAAAAAAGGGTATCTTTCTCGTTTCTTGATGGAACTCAAGGACTCTAATAATATGTGTATGGTTTAAAACACATTGATCAAGCATATATAAATTGGCCTATCCTATGACTAAAAAATACAAAGATTGGCCTATCCTATGAGGCTATGACTAAAGAAAAGGATTGGCCTATCCTATAATAAATTAAAAATGTAATCTAAGAGTTATATATAAGTCGTAGGTTTTTTCTTGTAGGGGGGACCAGGTCTGTTTGGTGACCACTTGGCATAGTCATTTAGTTCTAATTCTTGTTTTCATCACACCTTTTTCATCCCTCAAGTTTATTGGGACAAAAACTAGCTTAAGTTTTTTTTTTTTTTTTTTTTTTTGCCGTTCAAAAAAAAGGTAACAAAAAAGCTTAAGTTCTCTGGTATTCATTGAATCATCGTCCCCATGTGTTGATTGTCGCAATACAAAATGTGTCGGAAATTATCTTATATTTTCAATTTATCAGAAAATACTGAGATGTTCATTTATCAGCAAATATGAGCTCATCAACATCGTCTTTACCCATATCATCACATGAGAGATAAAGGCTTTTTTATTTCAACATGAGATAAAGGCTTTGCTTGGTGAATTTAAAGCAATGGTGGTGAGGACTGAGGATTGTAACACTGCGATTAATACAAAAATAACAACTGAATTTATAAACTTTTTAACCACCATCATTTAGAGACTAGTAAAATACACCTTTTCAATGAAACTAATTAAAATCTTTACTAAAGTGTATTATAATGTGTATAATTTTTTAACTAATCAGGCGTAGCAAATAACCTACTACCTTTTAGCGTATTTCTATTTTACCATTATATTGGTTTACAGTTAAAAATATCATTTATTAATGTTATTTTACAACCAATTTTATATCTATGTATCACCAACAGAATATCATGCTCGAAATTTATTAAAATTTAATTTCAAATAAAATATTTTATTTTATTGTATTTAACAACCGACTTATTAAAATAGTTAGGAGTATTTCAATGATATAATTGTTCAAAGATTAGTATATCAAGATGCATCGAACGATTAGAGGATATTTTTATTAATTAGTAGGCTCTGTTAACTAAAAATAAGTAGAGAGATTGGAAACTAATTAATAAAGTTAGGAAGGAAATAAGAGGCTAGGAGAAAGGTTGTAAACTTGTAAATGTGAGAAAGTGGGTAGACATAGGCACTTAGGTTATCTCCGCTAATGGAGGATTACACATGTGATTATGTATCCATATGTCTTTATCCAAAACTGATTTTCTTAAAGATAGTTCTCTTTGTTTTTTCTTAGGGACTATAGGAACTCTAACCCATGTTGGACCCACTTTGTAGAATAGAACACTACTGCAAAGTTTCCAGAGTTTTTAAACAAACATGCATCTACTTGGGATGGAAGAAGACTCGCTAATCTTGAGTCTTATAGTTTATAATTGGTTTCACCACCAATTGTCCAGATAAAAATTTGACCAAATACCTTTGGAATATATTTACTTTCTTTAGATTACTTCACAAAATAACTTTAGGATGTGGCATAAAATAAAGCTGCTTTAGGCTAAGGCTAAAGCACTACAGAATAAAATATACTAATGAAAATACAGTTAAGAAAAAGAGAAATGAAGAGAAAGTGT